TCATTTGAAACTAAGAAGTATGATAATTTATACATGTTTAGAATATGTTCATAAAACTGTAGCATTTTTTATTGCACAGAAATGGAGCCCTGTAATATAAGAAAGCTTTATTATTTTGAAAAATCTACGGTTAAGTATTATTTTTATTTTGAAAACTTAAAATGACATCAGATTATCTACATAAGATACTCAGTAGCAGCATAAATCACCCAAAAAATATCTGAATGAAGATAAGAGCTATGGAAGTGAGGTATTGTAAAGTGACATGCGTGTGACTAGATGAGAAAGATGAAGTAGTAGGTTGGCAAATTCAATTAAAGAATGCTGTGTTATACTTAATTTCCAACTTATGCAGTAATAGAGAGGAATCAAGTCAGCATATGTGCTGAAATTATATAAGCGGTGAATTTTAATAACAGCAAGATCTAAGGCATCAAATTGTCTATAACAATCTGATATTTGTAATACAAATATGTATGCAGATGGTAGATATGTTGAATGTGCTGCATAATGAACCAAAAGTTATGCAAATACAACTTAAAAAAACTCAAAAGATAGAATCCACAACCTTCAATCTGTGCAATTCATTTCTGAAAAATATCCTTATGAGCTATGCAAATTTGTCTTATACTTTTTTGGTTCTCATTCACAGTTTCTGAGTTATTATTGCTAAAATTCTAGCCTTTGTTGCCAGGAATACTCTCACCAGTCTCATCTAGCAATGCATGATCTATTTTATTGTTCTAATGCCTAGCTTCTACAGATCTGACTCACTATCTCCATAGTATATGATATATGCATATACATCTGGCTCTATTTAAGCTATTAAACCCCTTCGAGCCAGGTAGCAAAAACACGCGCTTATTGCGGAGGCCGGCAGTGTCTTCCGCGAGCGTCTCTCCAGGGCCGGTGGCTTTTTTGCTACTAAGCCTAAATCCATGAAATTTCCGAAGTATCAATGCATTGTTTAATAATGCTCTATAGAGTATTTAAACGCTTATGCTTTATAAATATTTTTATATATATATACTTTAATTACCTATTTCTTGTTTAAATGCATATTTACACATTTATTTTAATTATTCTCCATTTTATAACTTTTAACATTAACATCTGAAAACTAAATATTACTTAAAATTCTCTTTTTCGTATGAAAAATTTAAAACGGGATCTACACACAGTCCTACGTTACATTCCTTGAACTCGTAATACTATTTGCAGTTTTGGAGGATTTTTCGGGAATGTGAACAAACGAAGCATCGTCGTCTCATTTTTATCAGTCTCTTCTGAACAAAGTTTTGGAAAATGTTTTTAAGTTAATCTTTCAGAATCAATATCTGAAATATTTTGCATCATTCTGTATTTCATGCTCTTAAACATTTTCGACGCTTCGACATTGAAACGGTAAAAACAGAAAAAACAGAAAGAATTCACGTCTAACAAGATCTAATTATTCTAAAAACTGAACCGTAACGGAAATACTCAACGCTTTAGCGCATATTAACTTCTACTACAAGAAACACTACCACGTGAGAATAAATGCTATTTAAAGAGACGTCATACATCACGCATCGTAAACATTTAGTTCCACGTTTGTTTATATAATCAAAACCGTGTATGTAGTATGCTCCTCATTTCGAGTAGAGGTCTAATGTAATGTATCGAACCATATGTCTACAGCATCTTGGCAGAAGTATAGTTGAAACGTGCAAAGTACTGGAACAAATGCGTGACAGTCGGTAGAAAACACAACAATTCTCTGCCACGACTGCGTGTCGGCCGGTAGATAAGTGTGTTCGTCGCTGGTACGTATACGTGACAGTCGGCGCGAAGGGGTTAAAAGCTTTTCCATACAGCTTTTACAATAAGAAAACACACTAAGATAGCATTTTCTGAATGTAAACTGAAAAAGACTTACATGATGATTTTCATCATATACATGAAATGCACAAAAAACATTTTAATTACGGTTCAGGAAATATACTGAAATTGAAATTTTATAACTAAGATACTATGATATCTTAGTTATAAAATTTCATATATTATGAATCTAAATAAAAATAATTAGGTTGTAATTTGTATACAGGATACTTTGATTGGAACCCCAAAGCACACATTTACATTCTGTGAAAATTCTTTTCAGGGATAATGCACAAATTTTCTATTCTTCAATATCTCTGCAAATTAGGTTTTAAAATAATAAAATTAATTAATTTATTTCAAATGGCACTGTGATATATGATTTAATTATTCAAACATTTATGACTTGGTCATATCAGAAAGAGTATAAGAATATCTCAAGGGATTTGGGAGCACATAAATACGTGTCTCTAAACCAAAAATGCATACATCAAATCCTTGAAAAACTAACTAGCAAAATCAGCTTATTATTTTGGATTATGAGGATTTATGGTGAATAAAAGGACCTCCTATATGTCTTGCAGGTTATTGACAATGAACATCTAATTGTGCTGTATTTGTATGACACTTTTTTTTTTCTTAAATGCTAATACTTCATATATCAGATGTGAATCTTTCTTACTACAGATTTAAATTGCATGATTTAATAAATTTTCATCCCACATATTACAGTATTTATATGCATAATTTAAGGTATGAAAATCAGTGCGTGCTTGTAATGCTGATATATGTATCTTGTATGCTGATATATGCTATATTTTTACACATTAAAGGGCTTAATAATCTCTTAAATTTTTTTCCACATAACTTATATAATAATAATTATTTTTTATAATTTATAATGGCTAACTTATTTCATTAATAAATTTTGTCATACTGTCATATCTTATTTTAAGAATTTCCACTCTGTAAAATCTTAGAAGTTATTAATTAACCTTTTATTTAAAAACTACAATTGTAATAAAAAATGAAATTTCCTACTCACTTCAATCCAAATCAATTGATAGACCATTCATGTGGCAATAGTATATTAGAATTAAAATTCATATTAATAATTAATTATAGCTCATTTTATGTACTCCTACTTTAGTTTTAAAGCCAAGGTATGTCAATATGCATGGCTAAAATTAATTTGAAACTAATACCAACAATTGGTGATTTAATTTGGTCTTAATCTCAGTGGTAATTAACCTTCTTCCCTTTCTAAAATAAGTAAATAGTTTGGCTTTTAGTTTGTTCTCTGATATGTAATTCTTTCACTGTTTATTGCTGTATGGAATATAATTACATAACTGTTACAGTTGGGCTGTAATTTTTTTCCTTTGTGATGAAGTATTTCATTTGAAATGACATTATTTACAAGCCATTAAAAGAAAAAAAATCTATATCCCAGGGAAGGGAAGGAATAAAAGAACTTGCTTAATAGTTTTGCTACTTGTATTATCAGAGGCAGATTTGTCAGAGGCATTGAAATACTTTGGTTTTAATTGCTATTGAATGCATATCTTTTAAACCAAAAGATACATCAAAAAGCTAATTAAAACCAATTTTTGAAGAAGAAACAACCATAAGTTAGTTTTTTTTTTTTTTAAGAAAAGAAAATTAACATTTATTTTGTGAAATACTGTATAAACTTTAAATTGAAAACAGGGGACAGAGGAATTTAATTAGGAACTTCTGAACTGCAATATATAGTTTCAAGTTATATCTATTATATTATATTATATTTTATTTTTGCGGATACCCATATAAAAGGAAAGTAACATTGCAGATAACTTGTTATAAATACTTATTCTCTCACTTGCATACATTATATTGCTATTATAATTTATTATCTATTTTCTTCATGCATGGTTAACTAAACTAAAGGGGGAGTGACATACAGTAAAAATGAAATTTAAAATCTATAGAGCTGAAGATAATAAAACTACTCAACACAGTAATAAGATTGGGCTTTTCCAAATACTGTTCCAGATATGATTAGAAATAATCTTACGAAGATTTTTTATTTCTCAAGGTCAAAATTTTCTAACTTCTTTAAATGTTACAGCATAGAAACTATAGATCAAATTCTAAACTATATTTTAAAATTAGTTACTAGTATTTTATGCAGTAAAAATTAATTACAACATTAAATTTTGTGTTCATTAAGCACCATTGTCCATAATAATAATACTTTTATGAAAATACAGCAAATAATATGAATATTTTTTAAATAGAAAAATACATTTTATATAACATAATATCTGTTGAGAAATTGTTTAAGATAAGAAGTAAATTTGTAATTAAATTAAGATTCAGTTTTGTATTAAAATTACAGAATATTTACACCTGTATTATATTTTGATTTAAATATGCATGCTATATTTAAAAATTAAAATGAGTAGCTTCTAATATACGACTAGCACCATGACAGAGTACAAATTCAAGCTCAACTTAAATTTCTTTTTAAAGCAATTTAAGTAAACACTGCCGACATTTTGGCAAAACTAATAAAAATTAAAATATATCTACAGTTCAAATTATAGATGATAAAGTAGCAAAAGCATAATATTTAATAGTAAATAATATATAGACATACAAAAAATGCCATCATTTAAGTAAATAAGATATGCTACAAATTTAAAATATTTGGCAATAACATATATAAAACACTTTTTAAAGGAAAATTCTTAGACAAAGAATAATTTTAAAACCATATAATTCAAAATATTCTCCAATAACATGATTTACATGATTGATGATAAAACTACCATTAAGAAAATTATTGAGATATTTTTTAATAAATCACGGGCAAAATGCCAAGGAACAAAAATCACACAAATTTATAAAATCTTTTTTTAGTTTAACACCTAAACTTCAATGTATTAGAATATATTCTACATGACAAAAATGTAACATTGCACTAATTCCAGACATATCACTTTATACATCTCACTAATATACATGAAGTTTCTTAAATAAAAGAAAAAAAAAGGAGGAAGTAAAAGGATTTAAAAAAAATACTATGATTTCATAAGTAAATTGGGTTGGGAATGTAGGACTAGATGTAAGAAACTTGATTTTAAATTGATGATCAATTACTTTGCATAACAAACATTCTTATTTTTCAGTTCCATTATACAAACAATACAAAAGTTACCTTCCATTGTGCAACTGTCATTACTTTAATGCAAAGGAAGAGAACAATAAAGGTTGTAACTAATTACATTGTATGCTACCTATTACTGTTTTCATTAGAATGACCTGGGAAGAACACAGAAGACCCACTGTTGCACTCTGGCTGAGTTGCAGAGGGTGGTGGTACAGCAGACGCAGTGGATTTTTTCAAGATGCCTCGCAGCCTGCCATCACCAGGAGAAGTTGGTGTAAGGGGAAGTTGTTCAGAGAAAGGCATCAAGTTGATCTGATTTGTAAGCACTGGTGTTACAGCAGGATTAGACTCATTTGCAGCTATTACACTTTCACGTTCTTTTTGAAATAACTTGCTGAATACTCCCATTAAGTTATTCAACTGTAAGTGAAAGTCTTCATTTAAAATTTCAAAATAATGATATTTTCTTTATGCATAGCATAACATAGTGTAATAAAAATACAATGAATTTTTAAATAGACATAAAAGATACATTAACAGTAATCTCCCCAAAATACTCCCTTTCATTCTGAATGTACTTATCCCATCTTTCTTTTCACTTTCAGTAAAAGTTAGAAGTCTTCTTTTGTGTCTTTAGTCATGGGGTCATAAAGGCTTAAATTCAGGCAGAACCAGACCTCTGTACCTCTGAATCTTTAAATAAATTTAATTCCAGCCAGAGTTCTGCATAAGATAAGTTCTGATATTTTTCATTTATTGTATAAATATTTATCATTAATTCGTTAATTTTTATTCATTTATTTACATTATATTTTATTAATCATTATTTTATTTTTAAAATTTTGTTTTCTGATTCTGATGGGTTTCCACGGAACTTTAGCACTTCTAATTTTAGAAATTAAAACCTCAATATCATGGTTTCTTTGTTGCCATAAATCAGTTCAAAATGTTTACCTCTCATGGCCTGTTGGGCATTTCAGAAAAATGAGAATGTTGCCAGATCTAACAAATAAGGTGGATAAGAAGATACTGTAGAATTTTTATTTGAAACAAGCTGCCACATCAGAAGTGATGGGTAGCACTGTCCTCAGAATGACACTCTTTGCCCACTTCTCTAACTATTTTCTAGGCACATAATTTCTTAAATACTACAAATACAGTTCACACAATTCTATTAAGATATATGCATGTGATGTTGTAGTTCCTGCAGGGGATGAAAACTAATTCATTCTTGAGTCATGTTCAAGAAGGCTGTTGCTTAGACGATGAATGGTGTGTGAAAATCACAACTGGTTTGATGGATGAAACATGATTTTTATTTTTTCATAGGAACAATTATTCAAAAGTACATTTTTGCTTAAAACAGAATAACACCAAGGGTACTAAATGTGCTCCACAATTTTAGACACGTAATTACATCTTGCATACTGGAGAATAGTTAGTAGAAGCTAAGTGACACATTGCTAGCAGGAAGGCGAAGTGGTGAAAGAAAATGCCTGCTTGGTTGCAGTATTTTTATAAGCTCGGAAAATCTTTGTTTTAGTTCTGGATAGCGATGGGGCAAAAGTTGTCATAGTGTAGGGAAAGTGTGACATAACATGTGGCAGAGTGACTCAAAATAGTGCAAAGTGTATCTTTGACAAAACTATATTATATTTTTGCAATTGTAAATATTACAAATATTCTCCAAAATTTCTATTCCTTTGCTTATACTACTGCATTCTTCTCAGGCTTCTTTCTCTTTGAAGGGACAATATGTAAAATTTAAAATATGAAACAAAATTATTAAACTTAATTTAAATCAACTGGCAATAAACCTTCAAATTTATAAATTTTAATTAAACACATCCCTGATTCAAAGATAAGTTTTGTAACCATTTTGTATAACTCTTTCTCTGCACTGTGCATTGCCTAGTTGCTATCCAAAACTAAACAGATTTTACAAACTTATAAAAATACCACAACCAATGACACATTCTCTTTTGCCACTTCATCTTCCTGCTGGCTGCTTGTTGTTTAGCTTCTGCTAGTTATTCTTCCTTATGCAAGATGTAATTTTAAATCTAAAACTGTGGGGTGTGTTAAGTATCTCTAGTGTTCTACCAGTTAAGTGACCAGTTAAGTACCAGTAAGTAAAAATAAATGATGTTTAACTACCAATCTGGTCATTCTTCTTCTAAAATTCCATCCAGTCATTAACAGCAGTTTTCTCGGACATGATTAAAACATGCATTAATGTTTTCTTAACCAACCTGTCATCTAATATCAAATTATCTGCCACAAACTACATTAGCATCACACATGCACACATGTGTATATGTGACATGATATGAATAATTTGGAACTTTGTGGTGGCATAATAGATGATCAGCGAAGGAACTTGACCAAAAAACATGGCCGAATTCAAGATAATTTTATTATCGAGGAAAGCAATTCGGGATTCACAATAATTTAGTTCACACATGGACGAGCATCTTATGAACCCTACATTTTTATTAGCTCGGTGTATATTCAGTGAACAAAGAAGGTAGCCGCAGAGTGTCTGGCCAGAAGGAAAGTCTAAGCAGAAGTGTTGCAACTATGCAGAGGAAGAAGGGAGGGAGTCAAAAGTTTCACTTCAGGTTAGAAAAGTTTTGGTTTTTAATTCATTGATTGGGCATGAGGTATCTGAATTAAGCGTTACGTGGGATAACATGATTAATTTGAATGACGCAGTTTAGACTTATAGTGGCACTATTTTTAAGATAGAGAGAGGAAGTTCCCAAATTAAAAAAAAAAAGGTTTTAACCAATTAAAATTAACATGTTTGCTTTCATATTTTTTATCTTGCATGTATATATTACAGTATCACAAATTTTGATTTAAAAAAAGTAATTACATTTTTCTTTCGTGTACGATACAACCACCACAACTTTCCTTTTTAATTGAAAAGAAAGTTGTGGTGGTCTGAATGATGAATTTCTTAAAAGATTAATAATTGAAAGCATTATATCTCAGAAACAGTAGAAGGCTAGCAAAACGGACTGCATCTTAAGTTTGCATTCATTAATCATTTGGAAATCATATAACAGGATTGGTCAAACTTCATGTCAGGAAGAGCCGCATGTTTGAATTCAGGAATGTTCGAGAGTTGCATCTAGATTTTCTAAAAGCCACAAGTTCATATTTGCATCATTATAGAAGTAGTGGAGGAGGTTTTAAATAGAAAGAAATCCCTGATAACTTTGTAAATTACTCCTTTAACTAATTACTTCTTTTTGGACACTGAGTTTTAGTTTACCATATTTCATACATATATTTTATATGCACGAGCCACACAAATTGCCTGCGAGAGCCATATCAGGATCACATGCCGCACTTTGGCCACACCTGTCATATAATATTCTGCTTTGGAATAATAGATATAATGTTTCATATTTATGCAAATAAGAACATGTGGATTACATTTACTTTTTTTCATTATTTTGGTCTTTTGAAAACACATTATCGCATAAAATGTGATCAAAAGCATAAAGTTGCGACAATAACAGCTGAGATGTGTCCTGTCATAAACAGCTTCATAGGTTGATTGTGCATGTTCTGTTGTAAGAGGAGTAGCTTTTTATCCCACTTCCTTCTCCATAGTTGAAACTTGGAGTTGCTGGAACAATATATTTTACTTTGAATTTTTTCAAGTACCGCAAGATTGCTTTCATGAAGCTGAACTAAAATATAGCAATAAAAGCTCAATAATTAATTTTGCTTATAAAAAACCAAGAGAAAATTAAAATTTCTTACAACCGTCCCCCACTAATTAACATGTCTATACCATTTATCGGAATAGGTGACAGTCCTCTCTTGCATAGAGCCAACACTACTTCAGCTCCTTACACTCATATGAAAACGTGACTAAATTCGAATGGCACTTGGCTTCAAAAGATGCAAAATGGTTTTTCTTTCAATGCTTTTAACACAGAAAATGTTAGCTTAGTCTCTCATAAATGATATTTGTTGTCATTAATGATGCATGTATCATAATAGTTATTGTATCAATAGTTGTGAGTCATTGATTTGAATAATGTTTGTAAATATTAAACAATATTTCTTATAAATATCTCTGTTCAAAATGACTTTTTGTTCTCCATATTCTTCATACTTACTGTATTTCAACATTGACATTTTGCACTCCACCACACATTGTATTGCAAAATTTTTACATTTGCCATGTTCTATCACCCCTTAAAGTTTCAATATCAATTTTTTTAGACCCTATACAATGAAATCTGTTTTTATATAATAATGAATGACTACAAGAATAAGAATTATTAAATATTTAACAGAGTAGGAGTAAATTAGTGGCTCACTGTGTTAAAATTACACATAAAGTTACCTGATCTAGAGCTATACAACTCTGTTCATAAACAACTTTCAGCAAGTCAGTCTGAGTAGCAAGCATAGTCATATTCCACAGAAAATTCTCAACAACCTTGAGAACAGGAAGTAATTTTTGTATTACTATTTTGAAGCATTAGTAAAAAATTATTATACTAAAAGCAGGTTATTCTAAAGCAAAGACAGTTTTAATATTCAACAATATAACTAAATTAAAACCTTTTCTATTTAATCAAAATTATAACTATAAAAATAAAAACAAAACTTACATTCATTAACGTATTTTCCAGTTACAACTAGTTAGACTAATGGCTCAAAACACATACTTAAGAGTTAGACTTATGAAATATATTTATACTATAGGGTTTAAAAAAATACACGATAAACTGTTTTGAGTAATTAATCAAAGAACCATAGTACTAGCTAAAGAACTGAATCAAACAGGATTAGAATCTTAATTATTAAATCTTCAACTTATTCCGATTCAGGGTTTGTACACATTTCTTCATACAGAAATTAAGGACATTTAAGGACCATTAATGAAAAAAATTAAGACCCTATGAGCAAATGGGAACTGAATAAATTCAATTAAAAATATATCTATGCCTGAACTGCACTTTTTAATACCATCCTAAAAATAAAATATAGATTCATAAGTAGGATGAATTATTATTAAACATGCTTAATTAACAAAATTATTAATAAGTTTGAGAATAAAATAAATATTATGAAATTTATCAAGTAGCATTATATATTTTACACTTATAATAACTGGACATATTTGAAAGAAGATAAGTGACATTTTAGTTACGTTTTACTAACAGTTCTTTTTTTTTTTGTCTCATTTTGTCACCTCAGTCTAGAGGTTTAGTAAATAGTAAGTAGATTTTTATGTCAAGCAGCATAGGTTAAAATGAGCATTAAAATCATAATCAGCATGATTCATAACAAAAAAAGTAGCTTTTGTCATCACTCCTGATTGCCTGCTGAACAGAACAAACCTGAAAGACCTGATGTAGTAAGTTAAAAGTAAGTTTTGAAAGTTAGCTGAGTTCTGTCTCACACAGTTAGTGTCATAGCTCCGTGCAGAGTTCCAGGGGTTGTAACTCAGTTAATATACTTTAAGGTTCTATTAAGCCACTAAAGCACTAAAGATAAGTTGCTTTGAATTATTTTAAGTTTCACTAGATGCGAAGAATAAGTTTTACATGAATTTTTACATTTTTGTGTTTTACCTTGTGACCACAGTAAATGTTAATGAAAGGCAATAACTGCTTAATATGCAAAGATAATTTTTAAGGGTAAGCACTTAGTTATAAGTAATTAAATTAGGTATTAGATATGGATTTACATGGACACTATCAAATTAAATTTATTTTTTAATAATATTTGTTAAAAAAACCCTATTAATATCACAATCTAATAAAATTTCACAGTTTAAAATACATGTAATTTATGACATTCATTTTAAAACAATATTAGGATAATTACACATTAAACATTTATGTTTTGTAGCAACAAAACTCAACAAAATAATTATGCATCTTTTTAATTTGATAGAAGCCTGCCCAGATATTTTGGCTAATTTTTATCGATTTCCTTCTCCTTAAGCATCTCTTCTAACAATTAAAAATTTGTCTTCAATACGCAAAACAATGTTCTCATTAGTTTCTGTGTGTTTTATCTCCTAACTGTCAACCGCTCCACAATGAGGTTTACTTGATCTAGTAAAAGTTAAATAATCCCCCCCCCGACAGACGTGACTATGTCTGAAAGTAACTATAAATCAGAGGTTTAAATAAGTTTCTTATTTAAAAAGAAATTAGATTATAAAGGCATGTTCTTATGCTAACAAACTCAATTACAGCTCATGGTGATGTAATTAAACAAGTTTCAATATCCAAACTAAAAATATGGACTAGTGCTCAATTTAATTTCAATTTAATCTGGTTAACTCTATCGTCATAATAAACTCAAATGTCAGTAGCGGGAATGGAAATTATCAGAGCTGATAGGAACTAATACAGGGAGCAAGTGGAGGTCAGAAACACACTCTTGTCTTACACTCCAAAAACCTCAATTTAAAAACTGTCTCAGTGATTTGCATTCTGGTGAAGAAATAGAAATGGGAAATTATAAATAGTAAAGGCTGAAATTGTTAACAACTGGGTAATTTATATAATAATAACTACATATCTATGAAGAAATAATTTTCCTTCTCTTTACATATTTAGTTCGTTACTTCAACACATTTCCTTTTCACTTTAGAATTTTTGGATTTATTTAAAGATTTCTGTTATTCTAAAACACAAAATGAATTTAGAATGTATGGAAAAGCTGCTAATTTGATTTCTTTAGTAATACAAACATTCAGAAGAAATATGAAATACATATCGGTAAGGTTCCGGTCACACAGCCTGGTGTGGCATAATTTTTGCCATACCAGGCATTGGAAGCAGAATTTAGAAAGGCACCAGGTAGGATCCACAGAGACTGCGTCAGATGGCAAAATGCCTAACGCCAGCATTGTGTATCATGCATTAAGACATATTAGATGAATCTTAAATTGTCAGTTTTCAATTTCTTTATTAATAAAAAAATTCCTTTCTATAATGCTTGTCCATAAGATAAGATTAGAAGCATTTTTGATATTTTCCATGCTTGTGTCTAGTGAAAAGTAGAGAAAGAGAAAACTGATGCATATTCTGAGAATTCTGAATATTCTGAGAAATGGGAAAAACTCTTACCATGAAAAAATTAAACAGACGTTTTTAATTAATTACATAGCTATTTTGCTTTTGCTAAAAACTGTTTCATAAATTGTGCTTTATAGCATTATACCTTGCTTATTTTTCAGATTCAAAACATTGCATAATATGTGGATAAAATGGAACTTTATAATATGACAGTGAAAAATAAAAATGCTAGATTACAAACTATGAATGATACTGAGAGCCACCACAAGCTCTTCTTTTTCTTTCTTTCTTTCTTTTTTTCTTTTTTTTTTTTTTTTTTGACTGGAAAATTCCAAAAGCGAAGATGCTTAAAAATGTGAAACAACCTCCCGTTTCCTAAAAAGTTAATCGTAAGGCAGGGATGATGTCAAAATTGTAAACTGTTTGAAGAGTTATTGTTGAAGTTGTATGTTGACCAAAAAAGTGAAAAAAATCTCTGGGTTGACAAATGTAATAGAGTTGGAAACTTAGAATGGATCAATTATGTTTTCTTGTCCCCGAATGAAACTTGAGATGGTACGGACCAAGGAGTGATCAGAAGCCTGAAGTATCATCACAGGAAGCAGCTTGTTTTAAGCATTTTGAAGAGATTTTGCCTATTGCTGACGCACTAGAAAATATTGCATTTCAATATTTTCAAAATGTGATGGAGAGTTAATGTTGTTGAATGCAGGATCTAAATGATGAAGATATTATGATAGAAATTAAAACGAGGAATGCTATGTTGGAGATTCTTCTTCTGATGCAGATGAAGATGTTGAGGAAATGCAATATACAGAAAATGATCTCCCGACTACAGCAGATGCCAAGGCTGCAATACATTTCATTAATAAGTTTTCATTCATACAAACTGTAGAACCAAAAGTGATGGAATTCTTTCAACTTTGGGACCAAAAATACAGAAAAAAAATTTCCTGCAATCTGCATCATGGCAGCTGAAACAAATCATTTTTGTACTCAGAAGTTATGCAAAAGTTAAAGCTGAATTCATCAATATGTTTTGTTTTTAAATTTTAATGTTTTTATACTTTTATGGATAAAATAATTATTCAAAGTTATGTGTAATTAAACAGAAAGATCAGAAGTGTGATAATTCTGCTAAGAGGAATATTATTAATATACAGTGAAACTGGAAAGAAAATTTGGTAACTGAGCTAAATAATAATTGTATAATTGTATCTCAATAACATTAAAAAAAAGATTCATCATTCACCTTTGGTAGCCTTTGGTAGAAAAAAAAAAATTTTTTTTTGGGGGGGGGGAGAAGTAGGAATAATTCATTATTTAAATTTTACACATTTTATGTGAGAATCTTTTTATCTGACTGAATATAGCAAATTATTGGTTACAGTGAACCAAACTTTCAATTGCTTGAAGTTCATTACAACAGGATTCAAATACTATATATGTATCTATTAATGTGCATACACATAGAGCTACATGCATATACATAAATATGTTTAAAATGATTTAGCTATTACAAAAACACAGAAACAAATGTATTGATGTTTTCTAACCTTTTCTACTTTTCTTCCTTTTGATCCAAGATTAGATGTATTTTGCATCATTTCACACCAAGCTGCTTCACCAGTTTTATACAGACCTGACAGCTTCAAGAGAAATTGCTTAAATTAATTAAAATTTTTTAATTAAAAAAATGCAAAACAGAAGCAGATTATACTTACGACTTTAAGTGTTTCATGAGCAGTTTTTTTAATATAACAATATTCAATCAATACCTGTAATACAGTTAAATATACATCAGTTAAAAATTATGCTTAGAAAACATATAATTTCAGATTTACTTTTATTTTCTTTATGAAAATCAAAAGGACATAATCAAAACTTTGAACATGTATATCCTAAACTTATAAATAATCAGTTAATAATTTAATCAACTGGTTGATTCACTTTAAAACTGAAATGACTACTGATACTAATAAAGAGCTCATATATTCAGTTAAATTTTAATAGTTATACTAAATAACTTTAAGAAATGCCAGAGGAGAAAATTGTTTTTCACCCTGTCTTAGTGCTGATCAATGATAGAAACTGATGGTTAAAAGAGAGATGGATAGTTGAGTATTCATCTCACTTTTTACCATCTTTTGCAACTCAAAATCCCTTTCATTCATAGAATTTTTTATTTAACACATAAAATTTTGTTCCATGCAAAAATTCAAGAGGCTTTCATAGGATCTTTTCTCATTATGAGCACATTGAGCACAAAAATCCTTACAATCATGGTATCATCCTTTTTTTTTTTTTTTTTTTTTTGGCTTACCTTATCAGATGAAATCTGTTTTCATTACAGTCTTGAGTAATATATGGTTTTCCTTGTACAAAATTTCATCAGTCCTTATCAATTATATAAAAAGTGATGAAAAAATAGAGTGCAAAATATTTATAACAAACAGATTAAATAGCACTTTTCCTTCCCAGTATTGGTAAAGAACTCTTAATCAGAAGGATTCTTTTACTTGCATGTAAAGTTTTCCAATCATAATTGCATAACTTTGTGTAAGAATTTCATATAATGAATGCAGAATTAAAAAATAGCAATATTTAAAAAATCTTCAGGCTAATTGGTTAAAACCAGGAGTTTTACAGAACAGATACAGTTTTACAGATATTTTACAGAAACATTTATAATATGATGTATTACAATTATAAAGGCTAAATGGAAATACAAGTTTTTTTCACACAGAAATTTTAATAAATCTAAAATTTTATAAAGACCATTTTAAGGATTCGAAAATTTACAAGCAGACTTATGCCTTAACTACAAATAAGCAGCATGAAATTTAAAAAAAAAAAAAAAAGTATTATTTCTAAGTGCTATGACAGGAAACTTTTAACAAATGTTGTTCTAGTCCACATGGTTAAAATGAATTTTTCTATGTAGAAAGTATTTACACAAATGTTTGAACATATTTTTAGCAAACTTTTACAAAGTTAAATCTTTTTCTAATATTATAATTAAATTAACATGGAAATATAAATAATAAAATGAACAGTTCAGTTTAAGCTCAGAATAATTTTATGAGCTTAACCCTCCGACTGCTCAATTTGTGGACCAAAATCGCTTCAAAAATTGTGAAATTTTTGTTTCATATTTTAAATCAATATATATTGGATAATTGAAAAAATGCATTTTTCCTTTCTAGAAAATATTTTTTTTTATAGATTTTTATCATGAGAAACTAAGTTGCCAGAAAAACCAATTTCAGATGTTATCACCCCCCCCCAAATTTTTAAATAAATTTCAGTTGAATTACAATTAATTTCTATTTATTGCATAATATAAAAAAGTAAAATATAAATTTTAGAAAATATAAAGCACTGAGGAAAACATATCTTAGAAATGCAGTTTAGTCTGATAGAGTTCAAAACAGGGTTCAAAGCAAAGTTCAACTTCACAGTTTTTGCACCAGATTCAATAAATCTATTTAATAATCAAACTAATTATTAATCTATAAATAATTCAATAATTTAATTAAATAATCAAGATAATCGCTGAACCTTTTCTAGCAGCCATTTCTGTAAGAAAAAAGTGGCAAAAGTGAAGTTTGAGCGGTAATACCACGTGTCTTCAAATGCCGCAATTTAGTGGATAACTTACGATATCTATTGGCCAAAACATAAACTAAAAGTCCAATACTATATATAATTTATTTCAGTCGTTAAATGGGATATGCTCCTCAATAAAGGAGGAAAAACACATGCCTGTGCAAATCGCGGGATGAACAGATTTTGCTACATTTGAGTTGCCTGTGGAAATTGCGGGATGAGCAGCCAGAGGGTTAATATATATATATATATATAAAAGGATATCCCGATAAATTTAGTTTCAAATACAAATAGTTTCAGAGCATTGTCACGTATCATTAAAGATGACTATGATATTGTTTCTGTAACAGCCCAGCAGAAATATATTGTGTTAGGGAAATGGCCGATTATACATCATTTGTTTACTATTAAAAAAATTCTAGCAAAACTTTTCTTTCCATTCAGAGTTCAATTAGACAGATCTCCTAATATGTGAATATTTTTATATGTACAACACATTTTAAACAAATGTATGAGAAGCATTTGTATGGAAATTATTCCATTTATCTCATGAAATATATATAAGAGGAAAAGAAGAGCTCATTTCATAGCCAGTCAGCCCAATGACATGTTAAGTCACCATGACTTTAATTTTTAATTTATTTTACATTAGTCTTGGAAAATATAACCATAATTTCAAAGCAAGCAAATTTGCATATTAGCTTATAGTGCAGTTGTTCCTCAAATAATAAATGTTAGTAGTACATATATCATCCACATGACATTTTGTGTCAATATCAATGAATATTAATGTTAACTAAATGATTTACATTGTAAAGAATGAATGTAAACTTAATTATCAATAAATATATACATTATAATTGCAGTTTTCCTTCCTTATGGTTTTCTTACCACAAATTCCTTTTCTTTGACTTATTTTAGTATAAAAGCAGAATACCTAACACATGTAACACATAAACTATGTGTTAATCAACAGTGTATGCTATTTGTAAAATTTAAGATCAACAGCAGGATGGTCAATAGTTAAGTTTTCAGGAAAAGAAATGCTGTACATGGATTGAATTGATAATATTTATGCAACAAGCCTTGTTCAAAGTCAGCTTATACAAAACAACATACTGTATTCAAAAGTGTAAAACTGATAATTACCTTTTCTAATAATGAAACTGCTTTACACAGGCATGGTGTAAGTTCACCACAAACCTTTACAGATGGTTGCTACAGGAAGGGGGCACAGAAAGATTATCAAATTAACATCAAATCATATTTTATGGGTTAAGCACAACATGGTTAAATTGTTAAATGGAATAGTTTATTTTTTTTACTGAGCTACTTTTATTATAAAGTGAATACAATTTTATTTATAGCACATTAACAGCAGAAAAATTATAGTTAACTACATAACATAAGCATATAATTACATTCAAAATTAAATAAATAAATTATCACTTGATTTTTGAATTTACTAAAATTAAAATTGCTTACAGCTGCCTATCAAGAATATGAAGGAATTTTGATTTTATAAAATATAACTTTATATATTGTAATTTTAAAATGCAATTATGAAAAGCAGAACTAAATTTATAACAATAAATAAGTATTTCTAATGTATCCAAGAAGGTACAATGATCAGTAAATATATATCCAATACATTAGGTTATTTGTATTTAATCTATAACTTACTATTTTAGATTAACTTGTCTTGCTTAAGCACTACCAATAACACTTGCTGCGTAGATAATAGTTAAAGGCCAAGAGGTAAAAGATTGGTTTAAGAAAAAAATAATAGATTATATATATAATTTTTGCTTTAAAGCTAAAATCTGCAAAAGGAGTTTGCATAACATAAGCATAACATTTGACTGACTGCTCTATAATGCAGCTAATGTGTGGTACTGTAATATAATCTAGTATTTAAACTGAGGTTAAACTGTTTACTTTAACTCAGCATTACAAAATAATCTGTCTTAAGAAGAATGTTTCACAAAATTAAAACCCAGGCCAGAAAAATTAGATGTTTTAATACAATATGTTTAATACAACTCAAAATTTCATTATCAATACAGCTCAGTGGTTTATCAAATTTTATCCACAACAAAGTATTTGAAAAATTCTCTCTCAAGTTTGAATACTGTAACAGGAATTTTAAGCTTCAAATAAAGCACAGTCAGTAAAACATTTTTGCTTATTTGTGCCAATTATTAAAAGTTTTCACTTATCTACTAATACAGAAGCTTGTTTTAAATATTCATAATACAATATTTAAATAAACAGAGTTATTTAAAGGCAGTGGAACCTCAGTTCAGGAATTTAATTTGTTCTTGAAGTACTTTCTCATCTAAAACGTTTATGAACAGAAACTATTTTCAAGGAACACAGGAATAAATGTAATATAGATTAATTTGTTCCTGTACTACAGATGATTATTTAAACTTCATAACAATAATACTTTGTAAGTTCATAAAAATTAATGAAAATAATTAAATCTATGACAAAAAAGAAAAACATAGAATCAAACAGATAAAGTACATGAAATTTAATTTTACTATACCTGTATGAAGGGGAATGAAAGTCATAAGCAAAAAGTGATGAAGAAAAGGAAGTGGAGAGATGGATGAGGAGTCGCTTTCCATAAAAACGTAAAACATTGACTGACACTTTTCTTGTGGCATTCTCCTCTTTTTAGTGGGGAGGGTCTCTGAGGACCATTTAATTCTGCTTAAGACTTACTGAGGATTTGTTTCAGTAAGAATTGCTGCCCTGTGATTTGTTGTTGTCTATATTTCAAAATGATTATAAAGTGAGGCATTGTGCTGTCATAGAAAATGATTATGCTGTAACTTGCTAGTGCTTAATCAGGGCGATATCACTAAATGAAACTTCTCATCTTGCCATCTTGTTTTATAAAAAATTTGAGAGTTAAAGAAATAGTGTCATCTTTCCTCCCTTCCTCTGAAGACATTCCCTTCACAATTGCCTTTTGTTGCTTATGAAGTTGTTCAGTTCTTTCTTGTTCATCTCATTTTTATGGTCCTCTAATAATTCATGCATATGTTCTATGTTAACTTTCAAGTATAGTAGCTGCAGTAGACATAATACAAGTAATAATAATAAAAACATTGTAAGTGTCAAAGGTCTCAAAATCTCTGCATGCCATCTATCCATGATTTCTTCGAGACCAAACACATGCTCCTGAAAATCACTTAATCAGAGATCAGCAAGGAAAAATATTAAAATGATATTTCTGGATGCCCCTAAATATTAAACAGAATTTGAAATTCATTTGTTGTTGAGTGTTAGTAACTCCAAACACTGTTTATCATCAAAAGGACTTTTTGTTCAGATAATTTGTGGAACATTCACGATCTGAGGCTCCACTGTATTATGTTCTAAAGTAAATTCCTGCATTTTCCTATTAAAGGTAATACTTACATTATTAATACTTGTTATTTCCCAACTTGTAACTGCAGGACAACTAGCCATTCTTAGTGAAAGAACACGCAAACATTGAACAATGTTCGCACTATCAGGTACACCACACTCTTTACACAAATCAAGCATTGCTTGTTCTTCATCTACTCGCATTTTATATGCTTCAGCTAAGTGACTTTCTGCATTCTATAACAAAGGAAAATCCAAAACTTTTCAAAACAATAATTATAAAACATTTACATTAGTTTGAAAATTGAAATTTTTTATAAGTTTCTTTCTATTATTACGCAATATAATGAAAGGTGGAGATGGAATCATGAAATTCTCATACAAACAATTTCAGAACAGCATATATATGTGCATGTAATCAACTAAGATAACATTAGATATGCTGTTGAAAAAATTTTCATAAAAATTGTGAAATTTTTTATTAAAAAAAATCATAACATTTATCTAAATGTAAAAATTAAAAACTGCATGCTGCAATAAAAATTACTTACACTACTATAATACTATTATATTAAACATGCTTTAGTTTAAATTTTAATCTTTGTATAAAACTTAAGCATTAAAAAATTATTGTTAATCAAGATATCAGCAGAGAATTAGTTACTCACAATTCTCTAAACACTTACGGCAATTTTCATTACATATTTTTAAATAAGAAATTTATAATTTTGTATGCTAATAATTAATTATTGTTGTTGTTGCTTATGCTCACTTGTCTAACATGGTCAGCCCAAGGCCATGAAATTCCTTGGGGCAAGAAGCGCTAGAATATGCCTGTCATTGCAACAGCCTTGAGCACCATACAGGTGACAGTACGATTTAGTTCATTTCCGCCCACCTAAATTTTGATGGACGCACCCAGCAGTGGGGGGGGGGATGGGTCCGAGGATCTCCCACCCTTCTCCCTTTCCACCTTTGGCACAGCAGTCAGCGATACTAACCACTATACTGGTTGGTGGTTGATTATTAATAATACCTATCACATTAGTTTGCTTGTTTTGACATTTATATTTATATACTTTGTAAGGATCTTAAGTTTTACTAATGTTTATTTTTATTTTAAATCTTTACTATCACTTCTTATTTTCTACTTCCGGCCAGAATTAAAAGCTTTAACTTATTTATGCAAAATTTGTCTGGCGAACGCCAAGTACTTAAGTTGTGGCTTTTTGCCAAGCGAGAGAGAGGAAGGAGTTAGTCGAAGCAGGCCGCTTACCTTAGCAGTTTTACTCGGTTGCTGGTTGCCTTCCAGGCCAGAGGTTTAATCCTCTTGATAATTTTAAACATATTGTAGTGTTAACAGTTCTCTGTACTACATACGGCTTCCTGTTAATATATGGCCAATCTTCCACGTAGGCCCTTGTTTATTGTTCCAAACTTAAGTTAGAGTTTAGTTAAATATTTTTATATTCTTACGTTCAGACCACAAGTAGTTGGTCTCTGTATTTCCGAAGTACGGAAATTATTGTAAAGAGTGAAAAATAAAGGGTTTCGTATACCCTTCCTGTGTATCTTGTGTACTTCCCACATTTATTGAACATAGCTTTAGTAAGCTCCCTGTTCCGAGTCAGGGTCTTTGCATGTTCCCAAAGAAAGTAAGGCGGAACTTTGAACCTGATAACTTTACTTCCTTTCCCAATTACAAACTTTTATATATACAAATTAAGCAGAAAAATAGGTTTCCTTTTTAAGTACAAAATCTACACATATTTTTCTGAACAAGAGAAGTGCAATTTATTATTTTCTCCACAATTTGAAATTCATTATATAGACCTAGCTTGCATTTTATTTTAAAACCGATTTTTCAGATAATTTATTGATGAGGATATTATTTGTTAAATGTATGAATGAAGCATTTTAAAATTTCATTTCACAAAGAATGGGATTTTTGTAAGCAGACACAAAATACACGGATATTTTACAGAATTAAATCAAGTTCCTAATGTTGGCATTCAGCGTTTTTAATTCTTGACTAAACTGTGAATTTTCTATAAGTAAATGAGATGGCCTGGATTAAATCAAATTCAAAGACCAGTTACTTAAGAAGTTTATCTATTGTATTAAAAATATACTATATAGCCATAACATCACAATCAATTTGCTTGCAAGGGGGGGGGAAATAAAACATGTCCACATTGTTGTCTGATAAATGTTTTGGTACTTCCCGATTATCTGCCCCTCATTGTAAAACCATAAAAAAGTATTCATGAGGTAATACAGTAATGTCACCAAAATAGATGTGTGACAAACCAGGATGTTGTCAGAGAGCGTTTATGTGGAAATCCAGGCATGAAGTTAGCATACCTAATTATACATTGATATGCATTTCTGAAATTCAACCATCATTTTCTGTTTAGTGTTTCTTTATACATTGAGTATCTATATTGCAACAGATCATAATGGGACTACGGAGTTTGCCAGTTGATTAAAAAAAAATACTGCATTTCTGCAGAAATAATGATATTTTTCCCAACAATGTAGAATGAACGTGTTGTTTAATAATGTTATGTAGAGTATGTATGCGGTAGATGCTTTACATACTCTTTCATTTGCATACATCATACACTTGAAGTTTTTCTGTTTAAATATTTTTATTCTGTACATTAACTACTTTTCAGTACTTAATATTTTACTTAAAATTCATTTTTGATGCGATAAATTTCAAAGCAGGGATCTACACCACAGTCCTATGTCACAATCCTTGCATTCATAATCGCTCATTTGCCTTTCTGGAAGATTTTTGCAACAGCACGAACAAATGAAGCATTGCCATCAAAGAAATAACTAGATTTAGATTCACATAATTTGGTAAAGAATTTTGATGCTTCAACATTGCAACACTTAAAATAGAAACATTTCACACAGACAAGGTACAATTCTTGATTAAAAACTGGACTGCAAACAAATCCAATCATCATATTCTGAGGATTTTTTTTTTTTTTTTTTGTTTTTGGCTTATTCAGCTTTGGCCACTCCTAAGGCCAGAAGTGATGGCCATTTTATTTTAGGGGCAGCTACCACTGCCTCCAGGACAGGCAGTACCAACCATACATTCTCCCGGATTTGAACTCGGGCCCTTCAGTACTGCAGTAGGCCTGCCTAACCATTATACCACCTGGTCAGCAGAAATATATATATATATATAATATTTATAAATAAATACTATGTGCACATTTAAAGAATCACCTAATGCTCTAAAAATCACCTTTTATAACACTTATTAATAAATACTACATGTGCATTTAAAAAGGCCATCACAAAGCCTGAGAGTTGAGAACATGCTTTTTGCCTTATGTTTATGTAATCAAAATCCAAGAGTATGTGTGTGTGCATGTCATCTCATTTTGAGCAGAAAATGAAGATCAAATTTACACTTATCTGAAATCCTATGGACATATAATGCCAACTTGTGCAAAAAATATTTATTTCTAAAACATTCTAAAATTCTGACATGAATGTGTGATGGATGGGGTGAATGAGAAAATGCTCTGTCATACTGGCGTGCCAGCCAGGAAGTGAGGGTATTCCAGACTGTCACATATGTGTGACAGTTGGCATGAAAGATTTAAAGAAATTATTTCATAGTTGTTTTCATTTCATACCAATACATGGCTTGAGTTCCTTTCTCTCATTCTTACTGCTTTACAGGTGTATAAGTACAAAATACAGATTTTTTGTTTTCTAAAAAAACATGTTAAATCCGGAAAAATGATAAAAAGTGCTTTATTCAAAGTATGCTCCATCACTTGTTATATACTTTTTCAATCTTTTGGCCTATTTGTGAATAACATGGCAGTAAAAATCTTTCCCTTTTTTCTGCAAACCATTCATCGAACCATTTTTATCACATCTTCGTACAAACCAAAGCGCTGCTTAGCAAGTGCATGATCCATCGATGCAAACAAGTGATAATCAGAAGCAGCCAAGTCTGGTGAGTAAGCCACATACGGTAGAACTTCCCAGCTGAGTGCTTCCAACATGTCGCGAACTGGTTTTGCCATATGCGATGGAGCATTGTTATGAAGAAATGATTTTGTATTGCCTATTTCAGTATTCTGGCCTTTTTTCAACCAGTAAATGGTTCAAATCGGTCAATTGTTGTTGGTAACATTTAGAGAGAGAGAGATTTTATGAGTAAAGGAAACACAATTCATCAATAAAAAATACTTTCCAAATGATTTTAAAACTTAAATGCATAATCATGAAATCAATAATAATGAGTAATGGATTATTTATGTGTCTGGGTGCTAATTGTATTGACTGTGAAATTATACTGCTTTTCTAGTTTGAGCATTTTATAATAAATTGAATAGATGAATGAAGTTATGGAATTTAAGAATTATCCAGATTCATAAAAAGGTCTCTTAGAAAAAAACTAACAATGTTATTTCTAACAGAATAGTTTGGCAGTTTAAATCAATCTCGTTCTATCTTCAATTTCTCTCTCTCTCTTTTTTTTTTTAAGAAAACTTTTGACATATAATGCATATTTTAGGAAGATCATGTTCAGTAGCTCTTGTAATAAATGCACTAAGCTTTTAAACTGAAATACCGATTAGATTGGAAACTGACAGACAGAAACAAGTTTACTCATTAACTCATGGCTGACTAATTGTTCAGAATTTCGCTTACATTTTTAAATTACTTGCCACAATGTTTAACAACTTCACGTAATTATTTTACTTCAGAAAACACACAAAATTGGATTGGATAATAATTAAGTTTATCTTTTTCTTACTTTATGAAAACATACATCAGATTTATTGCTTACTTCATGAAGTATTATTTTTACTTATGTGAAGAAAATTTTAGATATTTATATAATTTATAACAAAACAATTTAAACAGATACATATACCTCCCAAAAAAAGTTTTGGTGATTCTAAATATTTAAATAAAATTAAAATTTTTATTATAATTAAAAAAATAAATTAGAGAACAGTAATGTTTAACCTAAGATAACAATATAATTTAACAAACTACCTCTAAAATTGTATCATATCACGAATACTACTAAATTTTACAACATTAATTACAGATAATTAAATTAGCTAAACACATTTTTATGCTTTTCCTACAAAATTTGTTATATAACATATAAAAAATTTTATGATTTTAAACAACATACAACTTTAACAAAAATTATAGATTATTCAAAAAATTTTTGAATATATATATTTTAAATTGAATTAATACCTTAAATACGTCATCTGCTTGTTTTATACCCACACATTTCATATTCAACCAAGCTTTCCTCCTTTTAGATCTCTGTAGAGAAATTATTTTGAATTAGCCAAACATAATAATAAATAAAATAAATAAATAAACGAAATCTCATTCAATTTATGAACACCAATTAAACTGAGAATATCTCAGAAACTCAGAATATAACTCTAGTAAATCAGAGTATCAACTAAACATTCTTAAAAAGATGGATTAACATTAAGCATTCATATTAAAGAAAATACAACCTTGGTCAAAAGTGTCGGGCACCCCAGTATTTTAAAGATAGCTTTAAAAGTAGTCAGATAAGAAATACTAATCTGCATACAATTATAAATTTCTTTTTAAAGTTATTACATGAAGTATGAAAGTGAACAAACAGTTCAACTTTTAAACCCTCTGACTGGCAAAGTCAGATATGTGCAAGATAATTTTTGTGATATGTGTAAGAATGCATATATATGTGTATATTAAACTATGTGAGAGAAATTAAGACAATATATTAAAGGTACACAAATTCACATACAAAATACAAGGAGAAGTTTTACATAAAAATCAAGAAAATAATTTTTTCTCTTATTAGTTTTGAGAAATTTGTACCTTCTTAGCAAAAAGCCTGTCCAGTCAGATGGTTAATTAATTATATTTTTTTTCTTTAAAAATGACTTTTATTAAAATTTCCAATTTACTTTGTTTCAGGGCAAGCTGCATTACTGTGTTGTGCTAGCTAGTTGAAAAATCTGAAAATCACACAAATTCTTTAAAAAATGCCTAAACATAGAGACCTTAAGAAGGAATTATATCAGATCTTGTTTTTTTAAAAATGAAAAGAAAATCTTGAGATTGCCAAAAATCTTAAATGTGCATAGTGTGCTGTACAATATACTTTGGAATATTTTAAGAAAACAAGTTCATACTTGAAAAGAAAATGAACAAAAAAAAAAAAAAAAAAAAAAAAAAAAAAAAAAAAAAAAAAAAAAGTCAAAATGTGGTGATCAATTTTTATCTTTCAATATTATATTTAACTAAAACAAATTCTGGGATGAAATAAAATTCATATACAGTCAAAAGTCGTTAATTCAGACACCCATAATCCGGAATGATCTATAATCCGGATCTCAAAGCTACAAACTTTCTGTGCATGCGTCGCGTTTACGCATGCGTGCAAGACCTTTACCGCTGTGCATATGCGTGTGCACATGCGCATAATACGTTTATGCATGCGCATTTAATGTATAACGGATGGTATAAGCTAAAATTATCTAATTAGCTATTTCAGTTAATGTTGCAGATTGCGTTGTTCCTTAATCTTCGAATTGGATCCGGCTTATCATTTTTTGCAGACTGTTAGAGCAATTTTATAAAAGTAAGCTTGAACTTTTGATTACGTCAAATAGAATTTCCGATGCTGCAGCTGCTAAATGATCTACAAAGCGAAAGTATGTTTCGATGTCCATCAAACAAAAAGTGGAATTGCTGCAAAAAATGGATAAAGGCATATCCTTTGTTTGTCTAACCATTCTGAAATCTGTTTTTCAATTTCATGTTGCTCTGCGGTGGGGAGGGGGGAAAACGCCACGGCGCGCTATGAATTGGAAGTTGATTTGTCAGCACTATCCTTATCTTCAGGGGCAGATGTTTTTATTTTATTTAGCTTATAATTCCTTACCAAATGTAGTATTTCATCTCAATGTACTCCGTCTTTGATATGATTTAAATCAAATTTCTCATCATCATAACTCGCTTCCGATAGTGAAGAAAGTGACACAGAGGTTATTGAAAACGAAAAAATTTCGATTGACAAATTAGTCGGTATTCTCGACACAGCAATTATAGGACTTGAACAGCGATACTTTGTAACTGAACAAGAAATTATGTCTGTTTAGAATTAAAGAGAAAGTATTATCACATAAAACGAAGCAACTTAAACAACTTACATTTAAAGAAATGTTAAATAAAGTAAACAAATAAATATTAAGCTTTTTTTTTTTTTGTAAATTTTGATACCCTTTAGATCATAATTGCTCTTTATTTCATTAATTACAGTTTCATATTTTTAATTTTATAATTTCTGCATGCCATCTTACCAGATTTAAACTGATGATCCGTAATCTGGAAAAATCGATAATCCGGAATCAAAGTCCAGACGAGTCTGGATTAACGACTTTTGACTGTATAACTTAAAAGAAAATTATGAATACCATTACCTGTTTTTCAGATCTTGTGGTCATGGTGATGTATATAAATAGAGTGGTATTATACAGAGGATCTCCATTATTTGATAAAAGTCTCAAGTGCCGATAACCTTTGAAAAAGATAATTATAAAATATTATTCAGTTCATTAGCATTATATTTTATTACTTCATAGCAAAAGAATGTGAAAAGCTCCAGATATAAATTGTGCTAGCGAAAGTTTTAAACTGCAAATAAATTTGAATGTTTTCTTTGCTCTAATAGCTTTGAAATAAGTTCTGTGCCCAGCATTTAATGATCAGATATTGTGCAGAATGAAATCAAACTGTGAAAAGTTATTATGAATTTGAAATAATTACCTTTTATTCATTTTTTCTCCTGACAAACCTATAACTGATTTCAACTCTATTTACATACAAAAGAAGTTTTTGTGATTATGTGCTCTCATACTCTAGGCTTTCATGGATTTCTCAATACTCCACTCTGAACTAACAACTACTCAATTCAGAAACTAACACTTTCCCTGGTCTTGCATAGTTTTCCCCATCCACTGAGAAATCTCTAGTACTTCTCAAAATTACTGGAAGGCATAAGAGGGCCAGATACATATGGAACACATATGGCCAGATACATACATACAGATACACATGGAATAAATTACAGTTATGCAATTTCATCACACATTATGCTTGTGGAAATTATTTTGATTAATTGATAGATGGTGATAGCGTCATGTGTGAAACGTGACGTGCTTTCTGAATTTCCATATATGCTCCACTGGCAGCATATTTCCCAAGTGCACATCTGTGTAGCCAACGAGGGAGTGGCTTATAGGATGGACCAATGGGTATTCATTAATATTTCTATCACGTCACATTACCTATCGCACGCTTTAAGAAACATGGTTGAAAATATTTTGCCACGCAATTTTCCGTACAAAATAACTAAAGCATCGTCGCTTTCTTCATTGCAAAGTTAGATCTAATATAAGCGAAATTTTTATTTTGAAGTTAGATCTAATATAAGCAATTGTTACGATTGTGAAACAAATATAACCAATTGGGACGATTTTACTACTTGGTTGAGAGAATTTGAGATAAATGCAAGCACATATTGGGATACTGCTCAAAAATATCCACGTGAAATATTACTTAATAAGTGATAAATAAGATGAAGAAAGAAATATGTTTTAAACATCTGAGCCCAAATGCTATCTTTATATAAAACTATGCATATGAGAAAAATATTTACACTAATTATATATGTAAATAGAAGTCAGCACTTTTTATTGCAGTCTATATGAAAAGCTGTTCTATAATATTAGCCAACGCAGAATTTTATTCAAAGTGAACTTCACTAATTTCCATTCGTATGTTAAATTTCACATTTAATAACTGCTCACTCTTAAATGTACTATCTACACGAGAAATACTCATCAAACAGAATGAATTTATTCCTTCACAATGAATATACTGAATTTATTTACATAGGCTTTTAATGTTAACAATGGATATAATCATTAGAAAATGCATAATATTCGAGGCTAATAGTAGCTTGAGTCATTTTCTCGATGCTGTTCTATAATACATGCCGTGAATATCAATCCAAATATCCATGCATGATAAAATTCGCGAAAGTCAGCAATTAATTAAACTCATAAAATGAAATCACTTTCAGATTTTCTACTATTATGCCATACATTTATAACTGCAAAACAAATACAAATTAAAACGTAAACAAACTTACACTCAGAAGCATGATGATTTAGCGTCACAAGAGCAAAGAAGCTCATTGGTCAATCCCTCAGTGGCTCCGCTGATGTGCACTTGTGAAATATGCCCACCGGCAGCTCGATAGATGGATGTTTAGATGCTTCACACACTTTAGGAACACTTCGGTTCCTATTTAAAAGATTTCGATTGTGAAAGCATATACATTTGTTTGATAACTGAACCACCATGTTTTAATTAATGATCTGTAAACATTGTACATATTAAAAGCTATATTTTAAAAGTGATTGATGTTGATTTATAGCAATCTTAGAATATTTTGAAACAGCTGGTGCATAGGGCCACCAAAATTGGATTTAGCACATTGCAAGTGTGCAAAGACAGCAAAGGAAAGGCTAAATTTTCTATTTTGTAAAGTAACAATTGTGGAAGAGTCTGTTGTTAAATTAAAATCAAAACGAAAAATTATCAGGACCACCATGTCCAAGATTCTAAAAAAAATCGAAACCGAATTGAATAAAGAAGAAATTGATACAAGTACATTAGAAGAAAATTTAGATCAATTAATAATGAAATCGAAAACTCTGAGTGAGTTAGATGATCAGATAGAGCGCGACTTGAAATCAGAGGTGGAAGAGTTTGAAACAGAAATTCTATCTTCCATCGAATACGAAGAGGAAATTCAGTTATGGCAATTCAGAGTTAATAAAAAATTGAAAGAATTAAATAAAGTAACAAATTCAGATAATGAAAACTAATTTTAAAATCGAAAGTAATAAATGTACACGTCTACCAAAATTAACCATCGCTAAATTCTACGGAGATTATACCTTGTGGACAAGTTTTTGGAACTCTTTCAAAGTAGCAATCCACGATAATGAATCTTTAACCCTTTGCGGCATGGTGGGTCAATATATGTCCCACCTAATTAATATTTATTTTCTCACTTAGCAATTTCCGTTAGAAATTTTCTAATCTTTTAAAAATAATCTATTTAGTTATTATTTTTCTCAGTAGATGTTACTACTATACCAGGGCTAAGTTTATAAGCAAAAAAAATATTCAAAATAGGATCACAAGAGTGATATCCATGTATCTCGCATTTTTCAATATTTTAAAAATTTTGGTATACAATTTATAATATGTACGATTCTTTTTAATATTCAAAGGTATTTTATTTTCAAAAATCTTAATTGGATCAATATTTTATAACATAATTTTGCAGTTGAAATAAGTGGGTTAAAATTTGTCCCACCACACACTTGAATTTCCACTCAATAGATGGCAGCACTCACGATTACTTTTCTTTTCTTTTTGCATCTACTTTTTTCGTGATCGATGCCGCGCGCTTTACATCCGTTGTATGCTCTGATGTGCTAAAATGTCTAGAAAAAGTTAACTCAGGAAGCTTGGGATCTTTTTGCTGAATTGCCATCCGATTGCGACTCAAATGCTTCAGATGTCAGTTCTGATTCAGATGAAAGAAATTGAAATCCAGGAGAGAATAATGAGGTTGAAGTTGCTAAGAAGAAAGGGAAGTTTTTAAGAAGAAGGGAAGTAGTTATAATTTGTTTCGCTTTTTAAAGACACAGACCCGTCTATGCATGTGACTGCCATCTATGCATGTGGCACTGTAAATATGAATTGGAAGTATCTACCCAAAAATTTAAAAGACAAATTTATGTCAAGAGAATATATAGACTTTTCAGTTAGCGATGATTCAATTTATTGCATAAAATGGAAGGATAAAAGATCCGTTTCTATCCTGTCTTGCTTGGAAAAGGCAACCGAAATGAAAGAAATTAATAGAAAAGAACGAGATGGAAAGACAAAAAAAAAAAAAAAAAAAAAAAAAAGTACTGTGTTCAAACAGCATTATTTCATACAATAAGAATATGGGATATGTCGACTGATTGATCAACTGAAAGGACTATATGAAATAGACCGCAAAAGCAAGAAATGGTGGCACATGATTTTTTTTTTTTTTTACTTTTTAGATGCAAGTATAGTAAACGCATTTATTCTATTTAAGTTTGTTCGTGAATCCGATCATGATGTAAAAACAATGAAAGATTTTCTTCTCTCAGTTATAGAAGGTCTAACGGCACTTGCAGGCAAGAAAGAGCTGAAAAGAAAACTGGAATCCCCAGTTCAAATAAAAACTAAAAACCCGTTCGTACAACCAGAAAAGAGACTAAAACATGTAAGTCACACGCCAAAGAGAACGAGCAGGAGAAGATGTGCCTATTGCAGCACATCGAAAGAAGAACGATGAACATTTTGGATGTGTGAAACATGTGAAGTGCCTCTATGCTTACAAAAGAATGAAACAACATGTTTTTCAAAGTTTCATGAAAAATGACTTTTTTTCAATTTTAATCATATACAAATGTTTTTGAATCAAGTGTCAATTTTAATATTTTATTTAGTCTCATATGTACGAGTATCAAATTTTAATCTTAAAATAATATTCAAGAAAATATTTTCTTTTGTTCCTAAAATTTAAAAATATTAAATATATATATGCAAAGTGTGCAATTTGCAAAATTTTTCAAGTCGTGCATATATGCAATAAGTACAAAATGCATTTTAGTGTGTTTATTATGAATATTTTAGAATGCACCCTTTATTTTGTTTATTCATTCCACATATGATTTTTTTTCCCTGCTATACACCAATATGCTATAAGACATGTGCTAGTTGCATGGTGGGACAAACGGTATCCCACCTTCTCCCGTAAAAAATAAAAGCGCAGATTTTTTTTTTCAAGCCTTAAAGGCACTTAAGTAAGTCCATCTGACTTATTCTAAGGCATTTTTTAAAGATTAAAATATATTTTAAATATGCGTGTCGCAAAGGGTTAATAAAGATCGAAAAATTTAATTATTTAAAATCGTACTTATGCAGCAATGCTGCAAACTCGATAGAAGGATTTTGTATTTCAGAAACAAATTTTGAATGATGAGTTATTGAAATACTTAAAAACAGGTTTGGCAGAAAAGATATAACTATAAACTCGCACATGCAAAAACTCCTGAATCCTACCCCAGTAATCAAATCCAGTGACACTTTAAAACTTTGCAAATTTTGGGACACTATAGAAACTCAAATACGCAGCTTGAAATCATTAGAAGTCACACCAGATAAATACAGTTATATGTTGATTCTGGCCATAATGAAAACTCTGCCATGTGAGTTAGAATTCAACCGTAAAATGGATTTGTCATCTTTTTTTTTTTTTATGGGGATAAGTTATTGCAGTTTGTTCGCTCAGAACTGGAAAGTTGCGAGAGAAGCCATCTTTTGCTCTCCACTCATAAATCAGAAAACACTTCCTGTGTTTATAAAGAGAAGGGTGGAAAGGGAAGTATCACCCATTCCACTCAGCAGCTGTTGGCGCCGGTCAAAGAAAACAAAACTACTAATTGGTGTCTGTTTTGAAATACACCCAAACATGTTACTGAAGACAGTGAATCATTGACAGTTGATGAGAAGAGAAATATATTGCATAAGCAAGCAAGATGTTTCCTTTGCCTTAAATCGAATCACCGCATAAAGCAATGTAGAAGCGACCTTGTCTGCTCCAAGTGCACAGGTCGACATAACTGTTCAATATGCTTTTGAGCTGAGAAAGAACTAAATGGAAAAAATAAAGGTATAGAAGATTCGCATGCTCTTTCAGCATTATCACAGAGCAAAATTCAAACTATTTCACATCAAACGTGTTGCATAACACTTCGAACAAATACTCAGTCGGTTTTAATTAGAGCTCTACTGGATTCAGGTAGTATGCGTTCTTTCGTGAAAAAAGAAATCGTGGATAAATTGAAGCTTCCTTATTATTCGAACAGAGACTCTTTCAGTATTAACGTTAGGAAATAAAACACCCATTAGAAAAACATTTGGCATTGTTAAGATAAAATTACAGAACAAGGAAACACCGAATTTGAAAATCAAAATTGAAGCTCTTGTGACTAAACAAATTTCAAGTTCTGATTTACCACCTCCTAAACTGGGTGAACACATTTTAGGCAAACAGTTAGAAGGTTTACAACTCGCAGACTCTTGGGATTACAAAGAAAAAATTACTCTTTTGATAGGAGCTGATTATTATTATGATATAGTGACTGGGAAACTTAAGTGTTTAGACAATGCTGAAATGTTATTCGGTTGGTCTATGCTACGTTACACTAAAGGTACAACACACACGTCCACAGCCTTATACTACAGGTACAATACACACGTCCACAGCCTTTAATATCGTAGTTGAGGAAGATATAATATCTGATCAGATAAAGAAATTTTGGGAGCTTGAAAGTTTAGGTATAAAACCAGAAGATGAATGATCTGACCCATTAGACGATACTATAATGGGAAAATTTTATACAAAAATTCTTGTTACAAGGTTAGGCTGCCATGGAAGTCTGATTGAAAATATGATTTGCATGATAATAAAGTGATTGCGCTGAAACGATTTGAGAAATTTATAAACAGATTTCAGAATAACACCAAACTTTTTTATTCGTACCAAACAATTCTACAAGATTATTTACAACAAAACATCATCGAACTAGTTTCAGACACTGTTGATAATGAATCTCAAATCACATTTTATTTGCCTCGCAGAGAAATCGTTCATAGTGATCGAACTACTAGTAAACTACGTATCGTATTCGATGTATCTTCACATGGACCTGGTGAAATTTCGTTGAATGACTGCTTGTATATTGGTCCAAATTTGTATCCTGACATTTTTGAACTTCTATTGGCCTTCAGGCTTCATCCTGTAGCATTTGCAAGTGACATAAAGCAGGCTTTTCTGCAGATAGAAGTAGATGAGAAAGACAGAGATGTAATGTGTTTTCTGTTTACTAAAAACCTATTCGATGATCCACAAGATTTCATAACTTATAGGTTCAGTCGTGTGTTATTTGGCATAAATAGCAGTCCTTTTTTACTGGCTGCAACTATTAAACAACATTTGAAACACGAGGAAACCTACCCTGCCACTTGCGAATTTTTAAATGATCACATTTATGTAGATGACATCATTGGAGGACACCAAAACGTTGAACTTGCTTTCAGTACCAGTTTAGAATGTGTTAGTATTTTTAGAGACGCTGGTATGATTCTACATAAATGGCACACCAATTTTCAAGAACTGCGCGAAATATGGATTAAATGAATCCGAGGAATCTCATCATGTTTCAGAAGCTAGAAATCCTCCATTGAATGTGTTAGGAGTCGCTTGGGACATCCAAAGTAACATAATTTACTATGATGTCAAAAATTTGATAACATTTTTATCAAAATGAGTTAATACTAAACGTTTTGTCCTACAAGCAATAGGATGAATTTTTGATCCTGTAGGTCTATTATCACCGTTTGTACTTAGAGTCAAAATCATATTACAACAAATTTGGACACTTGTTTTAGATTGGGATGATGAACTACCAGAAAATTTATGTTCTGTATGGAAAAAATGGTGCAAAGAAGTTTCAAATTTGAACGAAATCGGTATTCCACGATATAATTTTTCTGCAATTGGTAATAGTGATGTGGAAAGGATTGAGCTGCTTTGTTTTTCTGATGCTAGCAAAAAGGCATATGGTACAGTAGCGTATCTGCGTATACTTTCTAGCAATGAACAAATATTTACAGTTTTTGTTGCTTCAAAGACTAGGGTAGCACCTTTAAAACTGCTCACCTTACCTAGGTTGGAACTAATGGAAGCTCTTTTATCAGCCAAATTAGGCACTAGCATCACTAAAGTTAAAACTTTAATGTTTTTTTTTTTTTTTTTTTTTTTTTTTTTTTGGACTGATTCGAAAATCACACTTTTCTGGATAAAAGACTGTGCAAAGAAATTTAAGCTTTTCGTTAAAAATCTTATTCAGGAAATACAAAATTTAATGTCCCCTGACAAATTGGCATTATTGCCCCAGTAAATGTAATCCCGCTGATTTGGCTTCGAGAGGAGCTAAACTTCATGAGTTGAAAAACAATCCTATCTGGTTTCAAGGACCAGAATGGCCTAGAATGTTGTCTGAATTGTGGCCTCGACAGAATGAAGAGAAACCTATCATTGAAGAAGAATTAGAATATTGCAAAAAACATTAATGATATTTATGAATTTGTGTGCACAGCATTTGAAGAAAGGCTTATAGACATCTAAAAATATAGTCATTTAGGAAAATCGTTAAGAATAACTGGTTGGATGAAGGAATTCATTGGTAAAAGTATGAAAACAAACCATATGACAGGTCCATTAATAACTGAAGAATAAATAGATGCCGAAAATTATTGGATTCGATCTGAACAAGAAAGTTTTTATCCCAAAGAAATCGAGTCTATGAAGAAAGTGAATAAAGTTGAAAAGAAATCATATTTATATCTTTTTAATCCATTTTTAGACCAGAACGGGATACTGGGAGCTGGTGGAAGATTAGAACATCCTAGTTTGTCACATGATGAAAAACATCCAGCAATTTTTTCAAGAGACTCCTGGCTAACAAATTTGATAGTAGAAAGTGCACATAAGTTATTTTCAGAGAATTCCCTTTTTTATGCTAATAAGAATGCATTTTTTTTAACATGGAAGATAAATAAAGGATTTTAGGCCTCTTCAACAGGCAATAATTTCTACTGTGGACATAAATTCTTACTTTTCATATAATGAGAACAACGACACTTGACTGCTCTTGTTAATAAGACATTTACATTTTTTGATAGGTTTGTGCATTTTACACTGAAAAAATAATAATTTCCGATAATGTTCAATAGTTTAACTTACGTCTGAAATACAAATTGTAAATTTTTTGTTAATGCATGGTAGAAGTGGCAAGAGACAATGATATGATGCCTACCTGTTCGTAAGCACGTAAGAGGAACAGTATATTGTCCTATAAAATCATCCCCAATGAATTCATCATCTAGAACTGCTATTCTTAACAAGGCCAATTCAGGAACTGTTACAGTAAATTCAAAGCTTTCATCAAATATGGGGGAATGACCTATATAATTATAAAATAAAAAATTACTTATTACACAAAAAGATGAAATGTGTTACATTTTTTAATATGATAAAAGAAACATTTTATCAAATAAAAGAGTAATCACGAATAATATAAAATAATGATGCTGAAAAATATAGAATAAATCATAAATTTGAAATATAACCTTCATTTGACACTGTCCTTGTACGAGCTTCTGCACAATCGATGGCCATCCCATAAACTTGTACAACAACATAAGGATCAATAGAGCTTGCCTTAGCAGATGCACCTTTTGGCTGAGGCAATTGTTGAGCACTGATAATCTAAATAAAAATTACATTAATAAGCAATTACTTCCTAAAAATTACAAATGTTGCAATTATACTTAAATCTTTTCTTAAAGTGGCATATTGGTAAACCTTTCTTTAATAATATGTTAAAGGAAACAGAATCTAGTAGAACCAATCCATTTACATAAACTTTTTATAACATGATTTGAAATTAAATACATGTCTTCTTTAAGAAAGTTTGGAAGTGCACCATTTTGAGTTTATAAATTCATTTTTCATGAAAAACTTCCAAATTACTTTTACTGTATACCTTCAGATGAGGAAAGAAATTAATGAAAAGATTATATTTATTAATAGCCTTTTTTATAAATCAGAGAGATTACATTTACATTAATTATGATACCTTAAGATATAGGATTGTGGGCTCCACACCAGGAAGAGGATCTTTTGCACAACCACCAGAATAAAGGCAAAGCTGATCTCGTAGAAAGGAGGGTTTGAGAGTATAACCACAGTTACCATTTTGCTGAAACCAACCTTGGTAAAGATCCATCATATGACCTGCAGTCTGGTAATTCATAGCAACTGAAAGAGCATATGATTTTAGTATAGGGTAAATGACAGTTGAGTTCAATTTTTCATAAAATTCAAACAGAAATGTAAATTAATGTATATAAATGATTATTCTAATGAAGCTTATATAAATAATATGGGCTGGAGATAAGACTGCCACAAATTCAGAAAATTAGTACATGATGGAAATGATCTATACCATTTAATTATTTTATAAATCCTAGTTTATCTTTTTGAATAGGTTTGCCTCAATGTTTTCTTAGTTTACTTTTAAAGATCTTTCTTTATATCTCTGGACTTTTCAATATAAACATACAATATTTCACTGTTCTTAAATATTTTGTCGATGCATATTAAATTCTAGTTATCAGTATTAATAAGGCATTTATTGATAAATGAAGTCAACTAATATGACCATTAACTGGCTGGAAGGAATTCTAACTCTTTGCACACAGCAAAGGAGTTTCACTTATGCAACTATGGGGAGGAGCAAGCCACAAATATTTGCATTGTATAGGACTACAGAATGTTTGGATGTTAGATATTTACAGAGGCTGTTCGCACATTTTTTAGACGATTTTGGTAAGCGGTAATAAAAAAATTGTTTGCTGCAAAAGAAGTAATTGCAATTGTACTATGTTTTTAAAAGTCCAAATTATCAACTGTGGCTTGAAAGTTTTGTTTTTATTCAAGATGGCGAATTTAACAAAGCAGTGGTTCGAAGGCTACATTTACGCTCTTTCCGAAGAGAAATATGCATACTCTGTTTTCCAAAAACGATGTAAGAGTCATGGTTTTGTGACATCTAAAACGTCGATAGGTAATATCATCAACAAGAAAGGAAAAAAAAAAGTCAAATTGGAGCCTCAAGTGGGACAAAAATTCCAAACAAGTATCCAAGGAAAAAAGGGTCATCTTCGACTATTGCAAAGGTATGTTGTTTAATGTTATTCCAAAGCATATCGCTCAATGCAGGACACGCTGCAGAATTCTGTATGAGAAACACTAATCCAAAGAATAATGGAAAAAAATTGTCACAATAGATGAAGCATGGGTGTATTTAAATGATTGTAATAAAAAAGGAGCCATTTATTATCATAAAAGGGGAGAAAAAATTAAGTACATGGTTCAAAGAATCGAAAGAAAGTTTTTCTAAGGGATTCATGATTGTTGCTGGTTTTTCTTATAATGGCAAGTTAAAAATAAAGATAGTGCAAAAAAATGTCAAGATTAACTCCAAATACTATCAGGAACATATTTTATCGCCAATTTTTCTGAATGAAATACCATCGCTTTACCCACAGTGCCATCAATCTCTGAGACTCCATCAGGACAAAGCTAGCAGTCACACATCCAAATCCACTGTAAATTTCCTAAAAGTAATGGAACAAAAAATTGGTATCAAGGCTATACACTTCACTGATATCCCTACTAAATCTCCCGATGTGTCACCTATGGATTTTTGTGCTTTCAGACTTTTAAAAACTGCATTATCCAAACGTTGTCTCAAAACCCTAACAGGACTCTGGAAAGCTGTTCAGGAGGAATGGGATAGAATACCTCTTCTGCCACTTCAAAAGGCATTATTATCCTGGAAATTGCGGTGTCGAAAGATAGTTTAGAATAAGGGATGTCAAATAGAACATTTAAAATACAAGAATTTTATGTAATTTAGTTTTGTGAATACAATATACATCGTCTAAAAAATGTGTGAACAGCCTCTATTTATTAATTTGTTTACTTATTGACAGAATCATATAGTTTTCACTACTTCCACTGGTAAAATTAAAAAACTATTCCACTGCTTACCATGTAAAATGCAACTCAAATGATATAACAACAAAATCAAATTCTAGAAATCTAAGAAAGAAATGAAGAACCTCTGCAATGGGTAACCGGTTTTCATGAGACCTTTATCAGTTAAAGCTATTTCTGAACTGTGAAAGCTTTATCTCTACTTCCTGATTTAATTCTGGGATCTTCCCTGTCTATTGCTGCACTTCCATTAATGCCTAATTGTTGATACTTTCACTCTGATGCATTTATTTTGATATTTAACATTGTTTAGAGAGAGAGAGAGAGAGAAAGAGAGAGAGAGAGAGAGAAGAGAGAGAGAGAAAGAGAGAGAGAGAGAGAAAGAGAGAGAGAGAAAGAGAGAAGAGAGAAGAGAGAGAGAGAGAGAGAAAGAGAGAGAGAGAAAGAGAGAAGAAGAATCCCTTGGGGGGCTAAAGGGTAAATAATGATAAAAAAATGAATTGGTTATATGCTTAAAAACTAATTAGTTATATGCAAGGCAAATATATGCTTGAAAACTAACTGGTTATATGCTAAGGCAGATAGATTTAATATATCAAGTACAATGGCGAGAAACATCTGCTTTTACTGATACATAAATATTCTGTATGGAAACATGCATAGTTGACATGCAGATTCTAAGGTAAGACTTTTCTTTCTCCTCACATTTGTGGCACCCATTTTCTTAAGTGAGTCTGTGTTCGTAAAAGGTTTTAAGTTTGAATAAGCTTTCATACTCAGTTAAATATACAATTTGATATTATAAACATAAAATTTTCAATTACTGAGTTATTTATTACACATTATATCCCTTTTCAATTATTTAATAATTAGAAGAGAATAATGAATGATTCCTGTTTGCTTTTCCTTTAAAAATTTATTGCCCCCTTATTTTTATTTTAAAATCTAAAAAAACAAAATAAAAATCTTCCTTTTAATTAGTACCCCTCAAATTGAAAATTAGTGCCTTAAAACAATTTTTTCATCTACATGATGACATTACTATTTTAAATTCAAGCAATCATATTTATTAAATTTTGGGGAAAATCAATCTTGCAATTTACTTCTCAAGACTGATATTTTCCCCGAAATTAAACAAATGAACCTAAGTTCAAGAAGTATGTTCATGCCCCATATTTCATTTATAATTATTTGCTTCATCAAAATCCACGTGGAAGCACAAAATTTAAAAAACTGTTTGCATTTAACCACTTCCAACTCTGTGTGCATGCTTTGTATTAAATTCCTTTACTTATACTGAAGCACTTAGTTTACATGACATAATAATTATTACAAGGGACCACATGGAAAGACATTTTACCTTTAATCAATAAATATGAAAAAATATAATTGTGCATAACTGAACTTGCTCATACATTTTAAATTTATATGTAAGTAATAAAATACATAATTATCTACATAATGTGCTTTTGGAAAATACAAAGCTCATAACTGAATGCATGATGCATACAGCACATGAATATGCATAAAGCACACAAATGAATGTAAATATGGAAATTAATAAAAAGTTTTGAAAAGGCCTACCACCGTACGAATGATAAAAGTCGTTGAACACAAGTAACTTAATCTGGGTTTCGCATGCAGGCTCCCCTTAGGCAGATAGCCCTAGAGTGCTTTGCCGTAATTAAACAAACCAAACCAAAAAAGTTTTGAAGGGTAAAGCAAAAGCAAACTCATCTTTTTATACAATTATAATAAAAACATTATACAATGAAAGACAGAACATTCAACACACAAATAAATTTGAAATGTTTTTTATTAATTAAGTGCTAACAACTTACACATTGACAGTTAATCTCCCTCCCCCTCTTAACATAATTTTACTATAGTTTTTAAGAAGGAACAGTTGTGGAAATATTATAAGAAATTAATTTCACAAAGCAAGCAGATATAGTTTTGTTAACAGACTGCAAAATCATAGCCAAGAACATACCTAATTGGCATCCACAGCTCCAGTATTCTAGAGGATTATAATTACTGCTATCAATGCGGCTACTATTCGGAAAAACATGAGTTAAAAAGCATTTGTTATGGTTAACCATATCTTCAGCTGAAAACTGAGATAATTTAGAAGCCATCACTTCAGAGAAAGAGGAAACATCTGACAGCCTTTCTAAAAATAAAAATACAAAATAATATTTACACTACAAATAATTTTGCATCAAAAATATTAACAGAAATGATGTAAAAATATCAAGAAAATTTAACAGTTCAAACTTATTAACATTTGAATGAATTTGAACAATTTTTGATTGGAGGAATGCATAGTAATAAAATAAAGCACATATAAAAAATACACATTAAACCGAAAACTGCTTCCCTCTTATGGAAACACATTGTTAAGCACATCAGAGAAAGAAATATGGCAGTATAGCCTGATCTCTGGGACTGTAAAAATTTTGGTACTTTTCTATTAACGAGATGCCAGTCACTTAATATGATAACCTGTTTATACCAGAATGTGAACATGTATATAAGAATAACATATATAATATTTAATGCATGCAATGTTGAAGCTGCATGTGATGCTGAATTTGTGCAATTTTTCTGATTTTTATTAAGAGAAAACAGACTACTATGTTCATGGGCAGAACAACAACAACAACAACAAAAAAAAAAGGTTTAATTCTTTGCGATTTTTATATACTTAGTACTTCTTAGAGATTAAACTGAAAATCAACTTTGAGTCAGAGTTGGGAGAAATACAAACATCATAATTTACAGAACAGGAAAGAAAAGTATGGAGATATTTCTGAGATATAAAATTGTTATAATTAGGAAAAAATAACACTGAAAAATACAAAAAAGATAAAGAAATGAAAGAGTAGCATCTTTTTTCAACATTTTGAGCAATTAAGGAATATCATTCCATGACACATAATCTGCTCGATTTCTCCATCAAAGTAAAAAAGGAAGAGTATGCATTTTACTTTATGATCTACAACTATAGAAGCTTCACCTTTGCTTTTAGCACAATTAAATAATTATGTTTAAATCTGCTATAAATTAACAGAAACTGGAATTCAAATGTAAAATATAAAATAAAATCTTATTAAATATGTATGTGAATGATTTATTCATCGTTGCCTAGATATTTTAAACTTATATTCCAAAAACTTTTAGTTAACTTTCACTAATCATTATTCAGTTCAGCTGTGACACATAATTTTAAAGAGGTGGGATGCAATCACAACATTCTTCCCTCCTTTGAATAAAAATATCTGATATGGATAATTATCATTAAACACAGAATTAAAAAATGGTCCAAAAATAATATGTGTAACTACACTTAGCAACTGTATTAACTCATTCAAAATCTCAAAAAATATATTTTCAATAAGACAAATTAAAAGAAAAGTAATTACAAGTTATTATGCATAGGATGCATATATGCGGTATTTTATATAAATTTTATTTACTTCTGAACAATGCTTTGAGCTTTCCAGAACATTGCAGCACATATTCATATATTTTAAACGCCATTTCGTAAGGAAAAAAAAAAAAAAAATTAATATTATTTCTAAAATTTTAGAACTTTATACATTTTTATGAGTAATAAAGAAATACACTTATGAAATTATGTATGTTAGCTATGTGACCAAAGTGGATTGGAGGCTGAAAAAATTTGTGGTCCCATATAAAACTGCAGAAAAGCTGACTTACCAGTGGTACATATGTTCACAAATGTGAATGTTGATGTGAACTACCAGTGGATCATAAGTCCCCCCAAAACAAACCTATCATGATCCACTGGTGAGTCATGCAGCAGTTAAGATATGTTAGTTCTCAGAATTCTTGCATTTCAGTACATGAAAACTTTAGTGTAACATATACAAAGCCCTTTACTTTGCAAAAAATCATCTGCTTTACCTTTGCTATCAATAACATGAAGCAAATGCATAAAAATTCCCACTGCACCATAAATAGATTGACTTGAAAGTAAGAAAGTGGTTAATGAACTTCAGCTAGGATAGACTGATGAAAAAGAGTAAATTTTTATATACAAAATATCAAGTTGGCTCATATATCTCTCTAAAGGAACATATTTTATTACAACACAAAAGATCCAATTTCTTTACATTAACCATTTAGTTACAATATATGAAAAAAATAATGTTAAAATAAAACCAGACTGCTCTTTTTTTAATAAAAATTTATATAAAAGATAGACTTACGAATTTCCTCAGTTAATTCAATATCCCAAAATCTTATCCTTGTCAAAGTAACAAGATCTGATAATGAACGAGAAAGTTTAATTTTCCTTAAAACATTCTGCAAAGAAAAGAAAATTCCCGATATCAATGAAGTATACTTTAAATGGGGAGAATACTGCTTCAAAGACTAAATTCTTAATACAAAACATATGTACTTATGAATATGTAATGGTATAGTTTGGCCGTCTCAAGTGCAACCCTGGTTGGCATTCTGCCAAAACCCATAGACTCGTCCAAAAGGGGCGGTATTGCTTACTGCGATGTGAAAGGTCTTCTCTTTTCTGGAAAGAGCTATGATGGAGGGAAAGAAAGTCCCCATCCTTCCACCTTATTTTCAGAATAATTCGGTCCGAATGGCGCATGCATGTTTGCGCTCATGGTCGCGGATGAGGCAGTCGAACTATAAAAAAGTACTTAATGATGTTATTCACCATGTTTAAAAGTCCTCATAGAAAGTCTAATACATGCAGCATAAAATTTTGAAATTCTCCATTTTTTGTGACTAATTATTATTTTATTTTTGCTTTAAAGATGATTTTATATATCACAGTTAACAGTTTTATTCTCAAAGTAACTGAGAATCTACTAGGAGCTGAGGCTTGCATTTGAGGATTTGGGACTGGTGCCATCATTGTATGTCAGACACCCAGTTTTTAGACTAAGTGCATCTTATACATTGAGAAATATGGTAAATATTAAATATAATCCAATTACTGGTACTCGAGCTATAGAGTTTCTCCCATTTGATTTTACTTAATATATATTTATATTTATGAATGAGTAAATAAAAAGATTCAAACACAATTTTAAGTAAATTTTATTTGAAATATATATTATAATTTATGAAACTTATTTATTTAACTTATTCAAAATATATCTTATAACTATTATATATAATTTATTATATCTAACTGTTGCAAAGATATTCTTATACCTGCTACAGCACAACGGAGTGCTATTTTAAGCCAATCACATTTTGTTAAACTGAATTTGTAAAATAAAGGAAAATGCACACAGAATTAAGTTACTAGTTTAATTTGATCCACCTAAAACCATTACATGTCCAGCATAATTGTCAATTATTCCTAATAAATTTTTTTTTTTTTGCAAAATTTTTCTACTAAATTGAATTATTGCTAAAATATTTGCAACACAGTTAATCGTATCAAAGCTTTACTCACAGAATTTATCTATTATTTACAGTATAATGGTCTGATCAGCCAAAATTTAGCTATGCTTCTTGTTAGTTAATTCTATCCATAAAATAGTCATTTTGTTTCCTTTCAAAGTATTACAGAGACTCAATTAGTTTCTTCTCTCATTTCCTTTTTTACATTTTTAGAATGCTATAAACTAATGTAATGCATAAAAAAGTATAGTTAAACACGAGTTCTTATTCTCCGAAAATTAATGTCTAGAATTTTGATTAAACTATAGCATGTGGATCATAATTCCTGGATTCATATGGGGGGATAAGAGAATGTAATGCAAGAGTATTTATGTACCTCCGTAAACTATGTTCTAGCTATATAACAACTCTTTCATGTTTTTAATTAAATATCATAATTTATGGCATATAAGTTTATCCATTTGAACCCAAATGATCCAAAGAACTGTTAAATTTAGAACATCTAGTCTGTAAGCTACTCTTAGCCCTGTTAGTCTGTAAGTTAACTTACAGATTATTGTTAAAATTGCTTAGCTTAGTTAGCATTAAAAAAAAAAAACCTGGGATGAATGAAAAATGTTTGAACAGCAAAAGAAAAAGAAAATCTGATGGAGTCTATTAAATTACCTAAAATGTTTGCCACAGTTCATTTAAATTTATTTCCTGGAATTACTCAACTTAATCTATTAACCGGTCCCTCCAAACAAGTTAAAAATAGCACCAAAAATTGCAGATATTGAAATTAAATACCTAAAAATTATAATTATTTTAGAGGTTACTTTTCTCGGTGAAGAGAAGGAAAACACTTTTAGAGATTTAATCATCATCATAACTTACACTATTTATAGAAATCAGTTTTTTTAAATGATTTTATACAGCTGAACTTGGAAAAAAGAGGTAAATAGCATTTAATATTGTCACATTATTGCATATATTATATTTTCAGAAAAGTTACATTTATCTAATAAACTTAGTTGTGGCATGAACACATTTAGATTCATATGAATAAGCACTTAAGAACATAAAAAATTGCGAAGAAATTTGACTATGAAAAGATACATTTACAGTAGTCAAAGATAAACTAGTATAAAATATCCCCAATTTTTGCTTTACAAATTAATACACCTAAAAAAAAAGGATTTTCTGAAAAGTTCTAAACCTAACGGCAGATGCATTTCAATAGACGAAGTATTAAACTACTTAGCAGAAAGAAAAGAAAAAAAAAAAAAAAAAAGTTACGATAGGAAATTTTGGTTGGAAGATTTTTATAGCTAAGTTATTAGACTTGGCAGAAAATTATAGTTTTATTCTCCTGAATGACTACGTTACATTCTCCTGAATGCAATGGTTCTCACTTCTTATCAACTGCACCTCTTTCACCACTGTTGCAAGATCATTTTCTCCTTTCCAAAATTGTGAAAATACAATTAATTTAAATTTGCTTTTTACGAATAGAGAATGTTTGTTAAATACATACATACATACATACATATATATATTTAGAACATTTTTAACATGCTTTTATACGTTACAGTAAATATTGGCAAATACCAAAACCTGAATAAAAGTGATTTTTTATATTCATAAACTAAAGCTAAATACTCAACACCTAAATAAAAGGCTGACTGCATTTCCCCCTGTCTAAGAACCCCTCAACTGTAGCTAATAACCTAGGAATATTATGAATTGGGATAACTTTGGATACAAACAAATTTTTTAAATAGCTCCATAAATAACAGATATATAAATATTTCAATTTAAAGTATATATGTAGAACAGGCTCCTTAATTGAATGTTGGATTGAAAGACGAAGATATAAAAGTGCATTCTTCAGCTAGGCCTGAAATATATCTGAATGAGCACCATCATTTCTTAATGCTTTCAAGGAATTTTTTGGTTTTACTATACACACATGTGTCTCAGAAGCATCAACAATAAGAGATAAAGAATCGGCACTACCTTCAAGAAATTTAAACAAATAATGCAACTAGTATACATAACTAAAAAATTGACAGACCTTACTATTACTACAGTCTTGATCTTCATCCTCATCAGACACATCACCAAATTCTTCTGTACACTGTGGAGGCAATTTTTTACCCTACAAAGTTTATAAAAAAAAAATGAGACTGTTTTATATGAAATTTTAAAAATTTTGAGCTTCAGTCCTTAGAGTTTTTCATAGCATTACACAATAAAACATTTAAAGAACTTAACGCTAAATTTTATACTTGATTTAAGAATCACAAATGAAACACAGCAACTTCTCATTTAATACCGTTAATTATCTCTGGATAACAACATGTGAAATAAAATATACTTTATTGAATTTAAAAATGGATATAAAATGCTGCAACTCGTCCAGTTATATATTTCTCTTCAACTTAATATAACTAACTGAAAAAAAAACTTAGAATGAAAGAAATATTTTTAATGTATGAATAAAATTAAATTACAAATTTTTAACGGGAGGGAGTACCTAAAATAGTTGAACATTCTTCAGTTCCATTCTTTTTGTAAATTTCTCTAGAACAGCTCAGCACATTACTGTAACAATAATATCATTGTGAAATACCCTGTAAAATGGGCTTAGGGTTGCGAGATTTGGTGCAAACTCGCCCATTTGGTGATACAGAATTTGAACTTTTTTTTTATGCACATGCGTATTAATTATGGTGGTGCAGCTGTCTCTTCTCCCGACACATCCGTCATTCTAGCGCATGGAGATAGTGAGACACTATATGCTGTGTGATGGTCAATATGATTTGCTGTGTGCACTTTTTATTTGTTAATTGTATAAATAAAGCGTGTTGTTCTAAATCGATGGATGTTTTACTCTGAACATGGGCCTCTGAACAACAAATGGTAGCAGAGCGTGGTTATATCAAGAAGACTTGAATGTAAAATACCAAGTAGAAATCGAAAATGTCTCGCTGAAAGCCAGAAATGGAGAAGTGGAATGTTCCCGAATTGAATTAACTGGGAAGAACTATTTTATTTGGGCATTGAAAATTAAAGCTGCCTTATCATTGAAAAGACCTGACTCATTAATTTCATCTATAAACCAGAAAACTTAGACAAGAAAGATGAAAGATTGTGGAATGAGAAAAACGCTGATGTTGCAGCGTATATAAAACTTTCACTATCGGATCAACAGATGTTTCAGTTCTCCACAGAAGAGAATGCAAAAATTAGAGTGAGAGGAACAGCAACTAAGTGCCTATTGCTAGGACTAGAGGTATCTCCTCAAGAACTGGTGTTTTACAGAGTCCGTGGACTTCATGGAAAATTTTCTTGAATTAGGGAAATTGTAAAAAACTCAGCATAAAAAGCAATTGATGAAGTACTCGAAATACTCCATGAGGAAGAATCTACATACAGTACAACGAACAGGAAATGATCTGATGGAACCAACGCTGAGGCGTTTGTATCAAGGAGAAATAAAAATTATAATCCAGGAATTTGTTACATTTGCTGTCAGTCTGGTCACAACGCGAAAGATTGCTACAACAGAAACAAGAATCGAAAAAGTGAATTATCCCAAAGGTAACAAAGAAAGAAAGAAGTTGCAACCTACAAGTGTGAACGTTTCATCTCGTTCTGATGAAAGAGAAAGTGATTTCGCTCTTCAACTTACACGTGGAAAAAATGATGAGTGTGACAAAATTTGGTTGCTGAATAGTGGTGCAACTAGACACATGGCAAAAGACTCCTTTTGGTTTCAGAATATTACATCAGAGGTGAGGGAGATTTACCAGGCAGATTTATATTCAAAAATATTTTCAGAGGGTATTGGTACTGTTAAATAAAAAATATAAGTACAAAGAAGTCTAGTTCTGTTAATTTAACTATTAGTAATATTAGTTACACTCTTGATTTAAGAAATAATTTGTTGTTACTCATTGCATTAATGGATAAAGGATGTAAAATTGAATTGAATAATTCTGTGTTAGTTTTTAGTAGGTGTAATCAATTACTTTTTAAAGCATTTAAAAATAATGGTAAGCTTGAAGTTAATTTAGAGCCATATTATAATTCTGAATATTGCGTTGCTAATGATTGTACAAGTAAAGTAAAAACGAAGTATTTCATGTATTTTCTAAATTTAAAGCTAAGTATGAAAATTTAACTGGTAAAAGAATTAAACGTTTGAGAACAGACAATGGTTTAGAATTTGTAAATTAACAATTAGATAATTATCTTGCTAATTCCTGTATTTTTCATGAAAAAACAATTCCATATAACAGTGAGAGTAATGGGAAAGCTGAGCGGACAAACAGAGTTCTTTTGGAAAGAGTTAGGACATTACTACCTGAGAATGAGCTTCCGGTAAAATTCTGGGTAGAAGCAATTAATTTTAGTACTCAAGTATCAAATTTAACACCCTGGAAAGGAAAAGAAAAAATTCCTTTAGAAATTTGGACTGGTAAAAAAACCAAATTAAATTATCTAAAAAAAACTTGGATGTGTGGCATACTTTTATATTCCGAAAGTAATGCGAAACAAATTTGATAACCAGGGAAAAAGAGGGATAATGTTAGGATATGCTAGAGAAAGAAAAGGATATCATATTTATGATATAGAAAGTAATAAAATAATTGAAGAACAATCAGTTAAATTTAACAAATCTTTAAAAGGTAGTAATTATATGGGGGAAAATAAAACCACATGAAGATATAGAAACTTGGGATATAGAAGAATTAAAAGGAATTCTGTGTAAGGAAAACAAAGTAGATCAAAAAACAAAAAGTGAAAAACCACATCTCGAATTGGTTGTTAGGGAAAATACTTAAGTAAGCGAATATGATGATGACTCCTCGAATTTCGAAATCACCCACATGAGTTGTTTGTAGTAGGGGTGATGACAGGGGGAATAAAATCCAAACATCTGATAGCTATGAAGAAAGTAATAAATATGGAAATGAAATACCATTAAGAGGATCGGATCCTAGAGGCTCAAATCAAAACAACTATCGTCAAATATAATCAATAATGTTCGGAATGATTTTTCAGAAGCAAAACGTTTCAGAAGCTAAAGTGCTAATTGATATGACTGGAAATCCGCGATGGAAAATTAATTAGATTCATTACATAAACACAAAGTGTAGGAAACAATAGAGAGGCCTAAAAAAAAATTAGTAAAAAGTAAGTGGGTGTACACTTTGAAGGAAGGAGACTCTGGGGAAGTAAAATATAAAGCACGATTAGTAGCTGCTGGGCTTAATCAAATAAAAAATAAGGCTTAAACCGAATCATATTCACCCATAGTTAACATTGAATGTTTTAGATTATTGCTCGCACTTTCAGCTAAATTAAATTTGATTGTTAACTTTTATGATGTAAAAACAGCATACTTGTAAGTGACTTAAACGAGGATATGTATAGGACTCCTCCACTTGGTTATGAAAAACTGATTGGGGAAGTAAAAGCATTTAAATTAAAGAAAAGTTTTTACGGGTTGCCTCAATCGGGTCGAAATTGGTATATGAAACTAAAAACTGAAATATATGAAAATTGTAAAGCAGTAAAAACGCCAATCGTTAAAGGAGCAGATAAAGGTTTTTCATATACAAATGAAAACATTGATACAACTTTGTATCAGGAATTAATTGAGGAACTTTTATATTTAGCGAATAGAACGCATTCTGATATATCATTTGTAACCTTGTATTTGTCACAATTTAATCATGTACCAGAAAAAAGGCATTACCTTTTGGCTAAAAGGGTATTAAGGTATTTAAAAGGTACAAAAAAATAAAAAACTTTTTATAGCAATGATTTTGGAGTTTTAAATACATATGCTGATGCTAGCTGGGGAAATGCAGAATATGGTAATTCATTTTCTGGTGGTACTATTCTACTAGGTGATTCATCGATTTCTTGGAAATCTCGTAAGCAAAGAAGTGTTAGTTTGTCTACTTGTGAAGCAGAATTATTTTCTATTTCTGAAATTTGTAAGGCTATTATTTGGACTGTACATTTATTATCAGAATTAAAATGTAAACAATTTTTGAATGGTGCAGTGGCTTTGAATACAGTCAAGCAGCTATCCGGTGGATCAACTGTGCCAGATCCTCTACCAAATCAAGACACATGAACTTACATTTCCCTTTTATGAAGGACTTAATGAAGGACAATGTCATTAAGTTGGAATATTTACAAACTGATAATATGATTGGAGATTTTCTAACTAAGAGTATCAGTGAAGAAAAATTAATGAATACATTGAAAATAATTTCTTAATGTAATGTATTATGTATTGTTTGTATTTCATTTTTGTATTGAAAAAATATTGCTCGCAGAAGGGGTGTGTTGAGAAGAGGCGAGCAAACGTTTTTCTTATGCATATGCTTATTAATTATGGAGCATCTGTCTCTTCTCCCGACACATCCGTCATTCGAGCGTACGGAGATGGTGAGATATTATATGCTGTGTGATGGTCAATATGATTTGCTATGTGCACTTTTTATTTGTTAATTGTATAAATAAAGTGTGTTGTCCTAAATCGATGCATATTTTACTCTGAATATGGGCTTCTGAACAACAGTTTCTTTTAGCTTTTTTTACTTTATTTGTTTCGTTACCTTTTAGATTGTTTTGTCTGTTCATACTGAATTTGGCTCCTAACCTTGTATTGGTCGAAACAATGATTTCCTTGGGTTGGGGAAATGTTGTGAAAGGCCCAGTGGCTACGTTGTTAGATAGCTTCCCTGCAAAGCGGGCTTAGGGTTGCCAGATTTGGTGCGAAATCATTCTTTTGGTGATCACACTGGCAATATGCAATAGACAGAACAAAAACATTCTGGAACGCCTTCTTAGTGGTTTTCTCAAGAATATTTTCAAAGGTAGGTTAAAGCTATATATACCCTGCTTGTACAAGGAGAGTAGTATGAGTTCAGAGATTAGCTTCAGAGAGTCAAAAACCATACTTTAGTGTTTGCTGTGAAGCTTTCTTCTTCATTATAGCTTGAAGAATGTGCCCTGAATGTTTCAGCGTCTTTGTCATAGTTTTTTGACAAGTGTAAACGGGTCTTTCGAACTGTGTAATACTGCCAAATAAACTGTATTTTGATTCTTCTCCAAATCCACAAAACGGTAGAACATAACAGCATGGTGTAATATTTTAAAGAAATATGGTTACTTACAGGTCCAGTAGTACCATCATTAATATAGGTTGTCAAATTTTCAGAATGTCTCATACCTTGACAACCATGAGCATAGCAATTCATTGGTTTCAAGGAAAGCTACCATTTTTACATGTACTCTTTTGTTGGTATTCCAAGTTCCATTTTTACAGATAAATCATACTATTTTTTGTCTTAATCTCAGTTTTAATATATAGGTTTGTGGCATTTGTCTGAAATGGAAGAAATTGAGGTGAAATTTCTACAGGAATACAGTATTTTGATTGCTTGGATGTTATTTTTAAAATGATCTACATGAAATTTCTACAGGAATACAGTATTTTGATTGCTTGGATGTTATTTTTAAAATGATCTACATGAAATTTCCACCAGCACAAAAAGAATAAAAGCTCACTAGTAAGTAGGTTAGATGACAAACTTTAGATACTGACTAGATGACTGACAGTAGTAAACTAATATAGTAAAGGCTGATTTCTGCTTAATTTTACGTTTGACATTAAAATACATCTTTTCCACCACATATAGTAAATATTTCAATGCTCTTTCAAATATAAACTGTTCTCTTATTTAATTCACTACTTTTTTCTTCTTTACCTTCTTCCAGATTACTCCTGATAATGTTTTTGCTTATTCTCAAGTTTTCACTCATGTTGTATCAGTTTTTCAAAACTTCATCAGTCAAATCGGCTTATAACATTAATTTCTCCAGAGAAGATTTTTAATACTCTTCAAATAAGTTTTTCAAGCTGCTTTCAGTTTTTCCATGTATATCATTTACTGATGCGTGCAAAAACTAAATAAATTCCTGGAATACATAAAAATTTGATAAAATTTATAAAAGCTTATATTTATAAAGTATAACAAAACAAGTCAGAAACTGAACTCTTCGCTGATTACTCAAGTTAAAAAGTCATTATAATGCTGGTAATTAATATAAAACACTCACTTTAATAATGATTTTTCCTTTGAGATGCTCAGGAGTCATTTGAGAGACTTTCAAATGACCATCTCTACCAGGTACATACAGATGGTCTCCAAATACTTTTTCTGTCAAAATTGAAACCTGTTTTTGGTTTTCAAGACTGCAATGATTTTCTAAGTGTATTATAAGAGGATATCTAAAAAAATAACAAAAAAAAAAAAAAAAAAAAAAAAAAAAAAAAAAAAATTATAACTTCTGCACAGAAAAGTGCATTTCATAACTAAAAATTTTTATTTTTACAATTAAGCATATACTTTCCAACTATTTTCCAGAATTTCTATTCTACTTAACATACATCAAAACAATAACATTAAAGCAATATTTCAGTAATCAATGTTAATGCATATCGTAAACAATCAAATTACAATTTTGTTGCAGTTTTTTTTTTTCAAATTTTTTGTTCATACGGTTTTACATCTCATGTTTGTAATTCTGAAACAACAGTTTTCAACTTAAAACTAAGAAATTAGTAGTTTACTATAACATCTACTTACGGTGAAGTAACAAATGCAAATTCTTGAATTGTTTCAAAAACATCATGTAATGGAATTTTTGATGTGAGCGTATTTCCATGATACACAACTGGTCCATCTATACTGTCCCAACAATCAACTGAAATAAAATTTAAAAAAACTATGAAATTGAGTCTCAAAACTTTCTTACAAATTATTTCAAAGAGTTTATTAATATTTAAAATGTTACAAAGAATCTAATACATGAGATAACAAAATATATTTTTCACAAGTGACACAGCAAAACCAAATATTAATTAATGCACCTTTCACACAACGACATCCCATTTTAAGAGCAGTACTGTAACCTTCAATACTTGAAGGACCTTTCAATTGATCTTCCAAAAGGTACCTATGAGATAAAAATAATGTGTTAAGATAATTGTTAAATTTATGAATACATTTTTCTTTTACTACCTAATTTTAATTTTTAATTATTTACTTTTCTTTCATTATAAAGATAGCTTTTAATGAAAGAAGCTTTTATTTTTTCCCTATTTATATTTGAATATATTTTCATAGCAGTTTTAAACAAGAAAAAATAAAAAAGAGTTAATGCAACAAAAAAGAAAAGAAGAAATAAGAAAAAATAAAAAGTTAATGCAACGAAAAACATGTAAACAAATTCTTTAATATCTTTCAGTACTTGGAGAAATAAAATATATCAAATATTAGAAAATATACTACAACTTTTCTTCACTAAAGTATAAATTTGTAAACAGTGTCAGAACAATAATTTTTTTTTTTTTTGATACACAATTCTTTCCTGACATTAGATACTTGAAACTGCAAGACAGAAGTACACACATTATATCTGAACAAAAACAGTGCAATTTCATGAATGTACCAAATACGTACGTATTGTGTGATGTGGCAATAAAATAATGAGGAAAGGGATGATTCATTTCTTGACATACTGTCTTGTGGAAGGGATCAAAAATATCACAGCTATCAGACAAGAGGAACAAAGTGAAACCTAATATAAAAAAGAGAAAACAAGTTATATACAATGATTGAATTGTAAGGCACACATACACTTTGCATTATTCTAAAAATTAAAAAATTGTAATTCTATATCACATGCATTATGCAGTTTACAGTCTATTTTTAACCTATCAGATGCTATTTGAAGACCAAATGCTAATGAAACACAAAAATAAAATCTCCACATGTAACAAATAGTCGAGGGCAGCAAAATGGAAATTTTTCCTCTATAGACCATAAGATGCAGTTTACAGTCTATTTTTAATATATAGACCCCACCTGACCTACTAAAAGCTATTTGAAGACCAAATGCTAATGAAACACAAAAATAAAATCTCCACAAGTAACAAATAGTCAGAGCAGCAAAATGGATGACAATTTTTTCTCTTACAAGAATGAATGAATCTCCAATGAAAAATTTGACAATTTCGATAAACAGATGCAAAACTTTTTCTAGGTGTTGAAATGTCAACTGTAAAAAAGAACTCAAATTCCAGAAATTTTAGCATCAGACCACAGAAATATTAGATTTTAGTCTAAATTTTTCACAAAATCTAATATGCACAAATCTATAATATTCACAAAGAAAGTGACATAATTTATCTTCATAGTTATTGTAGGTTTGTTTTGTTCCGTCTTTAATGCATCCGTTTATCATTCACTTTCATGCAGAGTTTTAAATCAGAATTGTGCCCTAAGTTTTACATCAGGAATCTAACTTTTTCCACGAAGTTTTCATAATAAAAGCTTTCGCATTGTTAAACGTCAGTGCGTTTCGTATTAGAATACACAGAAATTTTCTTGATAATAGATACGATCAAATATTAAGGCTCCAATGAAAAAGCAGAATTGCAGTTAATTTTTGTGTTTGACTACAAATGAGGCATTATGCAGTTTACAGTCTATTTTTAATATTTTTGCTTTCATTATACACTCATTTTCAAAAGCAAACAAGCACAATGAAGAAAGTGACAGGTATTGAAATGATAAAAAATTCAAAGCCATAGGACGAATCTATGGCTAACAATTGTCCATTGAATGTTCGTCATGTTAAAGGGTGATAAAAATTCCTGATCTCTTTCTACGGTACATTCTGCCAGGCATTCCATAACTGTTGATCTAAATCTACGATATTTTGGGGTGACCAAATCTGTTGGCCAACCATATCTCATACATGTTCGATTGCCGAAAGGCCTGGTGACCTTACTGGCTAAGAAAGAGTATCGACAGCTCGGAGATAGTACAGGGATATGCGAGCTTTATGGGAGCTAACATTATCCTGTTGAAAAATAACTCGAGCATGGCGTACCATGAAGGGAAACGTAAACGTCCGCTGGCTGTCATCAGCATGTCATTGACCATCTTTAAAATATCACGGAAATGCCTTCACATAAATCCTTTATTGAATTCAGCTTGAGCATCTTTATCATAGAGGGGGAAGGAAGGGTTTACTTAGTTCTTCCAGTATTATGTATTTAATATCATTGCATTAACAACATATTGTTACGTTTTTCTTCTGACACCAGTTGTTACATTATTTTCTTCCTTCATGTTCGTACTGGTTCGTGAAGATTTGGAGTGAATAATGACAATACTACTTGATGAAGTATCAAAACACACTTTATTGGCCAGTATTGTCAGGACAGCTCCAGAACACGTTTACAGTCGTCGATGAACTATTATAAAAACGCTAACGCGATCAGCGACACAGCCTCCAGGCTATCACGGTGAAGACAGCTTCACTGCAAAGCACCAGAGTACAGCTCCCCACACTGCTCGGTCGTTCTCGAAACTCCACGTACTCTCGAGACTCTCCACGCTACAACTCGCGATGCTCTCGACGACACAGAGCACAGCTCTTGACTCTTCGGTTCAGTCGTTTCCGGAGCTTAACATGCTCTCTCGACGATGCACTAACTGCGATATACGAAGAGACTCTTTTGGTGCATGTGATGACCCACTCGACACTCACTGGCCGGCTGTCAACCCGATCGTCTCCACATGGACTAGCACTCGACGAGGCACACTCTGACTTGCCCTCTCGACGAGGCGCGCACACACTCTAACTGACTGCGGACCAGCAGGGTTTATATAGCTTTCGGCTTGTGTTCGAGAACATTATGGGCTAAACCAGTAAGAATTCGTTCCAGAAAGTTTTCCATCTGTCCATGGCATATCGCCAAATGGCCGATTTCTTGCCAAATGTGGCAACTCTAAAACTGCTTTGCCATCTTACCGCACCTCTACATTTCGTAACAATATCAATATATATATATATACATGTAAACATATACACACGAGATACAGCTTATTTTTTTTAAGGTGCAATAGATGCTACAGAAAAATAAAATTGATGGTGTATTTATATTAATTAGCATTTATTACGAAATGGAAAAACTGGTATTAGTTATTTCTAAGAAACAGTATAGCTTCGGAAAGATCTTCTTTGTTGGAGTGCCATAGATTCGATTTGATAAACTTCAGAGCTGAGAAGAGTCTTTCCTTACTAACTTGAGTTGGAGGAAGAGCTGTTACTGTTAGGACTACTTCTTTTAAATTTTCAGGATATATTTTTAGAGGTTCTAAAAGAGGTGTCTTGCAAGCGCAATCATATTTCTCTATTTCTTCAAAGGCCGTGTAGAAACCTTGTTTGTATTTTTTCATTTTTATATCTAAAGGCTCTTTATTTTCATTCGCTTTGCCTTAGCTTTTCAATATGCCAAAAATATTTCTCAAAATCTTATTCACTGGAAGGAGATAGAGACTCAGTTGCAATGTCTACAGTTGACCGTCTCTGATTTGAATTCTCAATTGTTCTCAGAATAAGTTATTCTTAATGAAAGTTCATACTGGCTTTCTTGCCTTTTTAAATTTTTCGCATAAAAAAAAAAAAAAAAAAAAAAAAACGGTGTTTTGGATCCAATTATTAAACCCAACAAGATCTCATTCTCTAGCAAACAGTTCCCTTTTCTTCATGAAGAAATGATTTTTCTGCAATAACCCTCCATTCAGAAAAAACAAACATCCCATTCTTCCATTCTCACCTCCTGTCAATTCTTCAGATTGCAGCATTTTTGAGGCTTATACAGTGTAGAAAGAAGAGATTCCAATTCTGAAAGATCAGTCCCCAGTCTTTCTGTAAGTGAAACATTAGGATTATCTACATCTTCTAAAAAAGTTCTTAATTCTAAAAACATCTTTATCATCAAATATGTAGTTCCTTATCGCATTGCTTCATTGATAATTGTTTCTTTTCCTGCTTGCTTCCTAAAAATGGTATCAATTGTGTGAGTTCTTGTTGCTTACCTAAATTTATCAGCGAGATTTGACTAAATGAATCAGTTTAATCATTAATGGCAAATATCACATCTTTCCTCCTTCCTTATATTTATTTATTAATAGGTCAATAAAATAGAAAATAACTATTTATTAATGTATATAGTTATACAGTCCATAAATAAAAATAATAACTCAGCTTGCCATTAATTTTTTTCAATTCATTTTAATTTCATTCCAAATTCAAACTGTCCAACAAAAACTGAAGTGAGTCGAAGTCGACCTGTTTTTAGCGATTACAGCTCCGACTCCTTTTACCCCAAAATTTGCACGACTCCACAGATCTGGTTATAACAATAATCTTTAAAATATTTTTAATAAACAACTATATATATTTAAATACTGTTTCAAATAAAAATAATAAAGTAGAAGTATTTTTCAATAAATTTATTACATTATACAGAAAAACAATAGAAAAGTAATAATATTAAGTTATAAAAACAAACATAGCAACAGTATGTGAAATAATGTTAAATACGATGGAAAATTTAATTTAGTGGCATATTTGCATTTGTTTCTTTCCTGAAAGTAATTGAATATTTGGATCAAGCTTCGTAATGGGCAGCCTTAGCAGATTCTCTAAATGAGCATCTGGTAATTTGCATTCTTAAACTACATTTAATTTTTGTCGTAAGAAAAAAAAATTGACTCACAGCAGGAAGTACTTCCAAAGCGTGAAAGTAAATAATGTGCATGCTCTCATAAGGCATGGATATTCAACAGCATTTTTCGAGATTTCTATGGGATCCTTTTTAGCGTCAAAAAGAGATTGGAAGCTACTATCTTTTTGCAACTCTAACTCCATTTGCAGTTCCACAGGAGCTTTGGATATATCTACTAAATGTGGTTCCACTGTTTAAGTCCCATAGTTGCTGTGTGTTGAGAATTCTGACTAACATGTCAATTGAAATTTTTTTGTTTTCTTTAACCTCTCTGTCATTTTCTTTACTATTGGTAGCGGTATTTCCTAGATCTAGAACCATACTACAGATTTCACCTTCCATTAACCGACTGATGATTGGAGAATTGTCATCAAAATGAAAAACTTCTGTTATATATCATCTTCATTTATTACCACTTCTCCACATTTCTTTTACAAAATTCACTAATTGGAAAATTCCACCTGTTGTTTGCGATATTCAAAAACTTTCAAATTCGCAGCCTATCATCTTCACCATGAAATATGGTAGCTGGCCATAAATTATGCCTAGCATTTTTTAAAGTATCCGTACACATACCTTTCCCTGATCTTTGCGATTCTCTACACAGCACATTTTATGCTAAATATTTAAAAAATTCTTGAATAATTTTACCATTTCTTAAGAAATTTAACATGGATTTTAAAAATGCTACTTTATTTTTGCCTTTCACTGCTCACAGTATTCCGATATCCATAGACTGAATGATGGATGTACAGTCTGGAGGAAAGAATAACATGGATACATTATTTTTCATTAAAACTTTAAGTGAAATATGAGTCAAATAGTTATCTACAATCACAACAATTTCTGCATCATCAGGTAAACCAATTGAATTCAAATTTTGCTCAGCCTCGGGATGAAATGATTTTCAAACCAATCATACATTAATGTTTGTGTTGTAATACTTCTTTGGCGAAATGAAGCAACTCCAATGATGGAACACAGCAATAACTTTTATTTACCACTCAAAAAAATGGCGACATACAACAAGAGAAAAACATATTCTATCATTTAAAAAAAAAATCACTTCTCGTGCGAGATCGACGAGCACTTGAGTCGGTTTCAAATATGCCATTCACAATACCTTATGTTCATCTATTAAATTATTTAAACTACAAGATTTTAATATATTTAAAGAGTACAAACCCTCCCCCAACGGAGACTTTTACCGAAGGGAAAAGTTCTGTAAATTTCGAAAGTTGATAGCTCGGCCGCTCAATTCTTAAAGAGTAACGGTAACTTCTCTGAAATTCCAACTTCAGGCCAAATTTTAAGTTTTAACAAATTTTTTACATCACATTATAGGAAGAAAAAAAATGGAGAACATTTCAAATTAGTCTTCTTTTTTTTCTTGACGGCCCTAGATCTCTTCCATGGTGGACCGTTCATCGCGATATTACAGCAAAGCTTTCCCTCAGTTCATCTGTGCTTTCGGATAATTCATTGTCATTGCTTTTCGACAATGTTTTCTTCGTAATTAATAGGGCTTGATATTATCAAAAGCGAAAGATGATGAACGCGGCATTGCACTGATCTCAATATTAATTTCTTTATCGTTTTTTTTTAATTTCGTGAACATCTCCTTTTAATTCTGGGATTTAACTTCTTCTTCAATTCTCTCTGGATCTTATTTTCTTCCTTCATCGGTTCCAAGATATGCTCTCAGCTATTTTTCTTTTCCTTTGAGTCTAGTAGAATGCATTAAAATGGTATCCAAGTTACGTCAAGTGATAACTAATAAATAAGCATTCAGTGTACAGGAAGTAATAACCGATATCACTAATATACGTTCAGTGATGAACAATAAAATAAGGCAATTCATATCAACAGAGTAAGAACCTGTATCACTAATTATGTTCAGTGATGAACTAATAAAATAAGACAATTCAATATCACAGGAGTTCGTTCATGATGACAACTAAAAAATAAGGCATCAATCAAAGGAAGTATAATCTGGTATCGCTAATTTGCGTTATGATGAATAATAACATAAGCAATTCAAGATAACAGGAAGTATAATCTGGTATCACTAATATTGCATCATGATGAACTAATAAAATAAAGCAATTCAATATTAACAGGAGGTAATAATCTGGTATCACTAATATTATGTTCATGATGAACTAATAAAATAAAAATACGCACGATTATTCGATCTCGGTGGTGCCTCCAAAATAATTAAGACTGTGATACTTCTTTGGCGAATGAAGCAACTCCAATGATGGAACACAGCAATAACTTTTATTTACCACTCAAAAAAATGGCGACATACAAACAAGAAGATAAAACATATTCTATCATTTAAAAATAAATCACATTCGTCGTGCGAGAGTCGCACGAGGCACTCGAGTCTGGTTTCAAATATTGCCATTCACAAATACCTTAATGTTCATCTATTTAAATTATTTAAACTACAAAATTTTAATATTATTTAAAGCTGTTACAGTGTCATCCCAGCTCTTTTATTTGCATGATATATGACAAGGAAAATCTTTACTCCTTTAAATGCTCGAGGTCATGTATTTTTTCTGATTATGACATGTTTACACTTGTGCATTCCTGCAGCATTTGCACATGCTAAAATTGTTAGTCTAACTTTGGGATCTTTGACACCAGTTGGAGCCTTTTCTGTAGAGGTTGCCAAGGTATTTCGCAGTATATATTGCTAGAAAAGACCAGTTTCATCAGCACTGTAAATTTGTACTGGAGATAATGTTTCACTATTAATGAGTTCAATGAATTCATCTGCAGATAGTTCAGCAGCTTCACCTGAAAATTTTAATTGTACTATACCAGGCAATTTTATGCAGAGCTGTACAGATAGGCAAGCGAGGTATGTAAGAGGTTGCAACTTATTACAAATATATTACATTTGTAATAAGTTTTGAGAAAGACATATTTTTTAGACAAGTCCCATTATTTAACTGTCATGCTATGTATTTAATACTTAAAATGGTTTCAATTTTCTGTTTCACAAATATTCAATTCTTACCATCTATTAGTATTTGCTTATTTTGTTTTGCTTCTTCTGATGGTTCATACTGTTCAATAATCTTCAAACATTCCTCAGTTGTAACGTTCACCATCTAAAAAATGAATGTGATAAATTATGTAAACTTTTCTTTCATTTGATAAAGTTATATATAATAAGCTTTAACAATTTTGTGTTTTAAAAACATACTTATTTTAAAAAAAAAAAGATATAAAAATCTATATGAATAAGGAAGAGTGTACGTGTATTTGTCTTTCCTATAAATCTACAGTTTTAGTTTGACCTTGACAAAATTTGACATATCAGACCTCAGAAACAATAGGAAGGTCACTATCTATATAAAGTTTGTCAAAAACCACCCCATTGTGTTCAGACACTATGTAAATACGTATTTTATGCTAACTTAATGAACATTTGATTAAAATTTCAGTGATTGCAAAGCACAAGATTTGCAATTTAATACGTTTCAAAATTAATCAGAAAACTCAGCAATATAAAAGATGTGTGTTGGCATTGAGCAAAATGCAACATATTTGTTTTTCAAATTTCATACACAAATTTAGTGACTTGAAAAAAGTTATTGCCACAGACCAAAGTAAATTACTTTTAAGTGTGCTATTGTCCAGAAAAGCATAAGACATTTAACATTTTTTTTTTCAAATTTATTCAGTTATTAATTAAGAAACTAAGCGATTTAAAAGCAATAAATACTTTAAAATGTTATTAATTATTAGTTGGAAGCAGAAAATTACACCCTAGATTCATTTAAATCATCTATATATCATTAAAATCATCTATACACAGAATATTTATAAATGAATGGTGAGGTTTTAAGAATTAATAATAAATACAAATGAACATAATAGGGGCTCCTATCACCACAGGGTATGCTGCAGTTGAAGATGTACTTATTCCTCTTCCTTCGCTGATACCCATGATCAAAATATGCTGTTTAATATCCCGCAATTGCAATTTCCCACCAGATTTGCGCTCTATATTTTTCAACAACGCACAGGTACAATCACTTTGCATAACAGGTATTAACGAGTTTTATTCAGGATTAGTAAAATTTTGTGCAATTCAACTTCAAGCATAAAAGGAAAATCACTGGCTACCAGAGATTTCGATAAAACTACCTCTAAATGAAGCTCTATGTAAAACTCAAGCAACATCAGTGTACAATATATATTAAAAGGACACTGAATAAGCATTATTTAACTGGAACCATAACTCTCTGCTTTGTTTATGCTACGAGTTCTCAGATAAAATTTCGATTACAATAGAAAGACCCAGGACAGTAGAACTTGCTGTCAATAGTAGTTGAATGTCAAAATGTAGAACGCAAAATTAATGTCAATTATTTTTTAGAAATCAAATTTTTGATTAAACCCCCTGTTTAGTTTTTCTGTTACCAAGCAAATTTCTAGTGTGTCTTAACAACAATGGATGGCAGGATCTCTTCATGATTTCATTTATGGCTGTCATGGTAATGAGCCTGGTTTATATGTATTAGTGTATTTCATTTTGGATATTATTACAACTGTGTTTTTAAGTGAAATGTGCAAACAAAAAGTGTTGTGTCATCATGTGGATGGCTTTTGTTCAATACTGAAGTGTTTATCAGAGTCCATTATCTTATCTTTATTGTGCAGCTACTTACAAAATTATCCTCCCTCCAAAAAACTTATTACTGAGCTCTCCTGTTTTAAGTACTCAAGCAATTAATTCTGATTACTTTTACGATCGAAAATGGTCAATAAGCAATTAAATTCTGATTACTTTTACGATCGAAAATGGTCAATCTCCTAACAAAAAAGAATGAAACTTTGGCCTTTATTCAAGTGTTACTGTTTCATTGAGAATTATCTCACTTGTCTGATAGTAATATCAAATCATCAAGTTCATGAACTTTATTATGGCAGAGGGTAGCACAAGTGTGTCTGTCATGGCCACATTATACATATCAGAAAGACTTTACTCAGCTTTATTCTTTTCCTCACAGACAGACCCTAGAATCTCTTCTCCTTCTTACCATACCACCAAATCTCTTGAGAGAACTTTTGGCGGGTCAGTATTTTAAATGCCTCTATGCTGCAAAGACACTATACACTTATGAGCATCCAAGCCTTCTTCGTATTCAAAACTGGGCATAAGGATATGGCAGCTAGCATCATTAACCATTATATCAATCAGGCTAAATTAAACAATTAATTTATATTAATTACTACTTTAAATGATAAATTTCATCCTAGATATCAGACACTGATTGAAAAAAACATGCTACATAATACTTTAAATACTGAAGAAAATTTCACATATAAATAATTAATACTTTCCATTAACAAATTCCTCTTTATAATAATTGATATATTTCCTCACTCACTTTCCCTTCTCCCCCCAAAATACCAAGTAAATAAATAAACTGAAAAGTTCAGAATATCTTTTAGCACTATGACAAAAGAAATCAAAAGAAACCATAAATTAATTTATATATGATCAAATATACAAAGTATCATAACTTTTACAAAAATTTTACATAATTTGAAGAAACACAAGTTCCTTTTCAAACACAATTAAGGAAAAAAAGTACATAAAACAGAAATTTCCTCATGTTTAAAATGAAACTAAAAACTATAAATAAATATAAAAATTAAAAACAAATACAAAACATACAACATAAAATAAATTAAGATGACTTAATAGGAATTTTTGATTACCCCTTGTTCTCCTTCAAGAAATAAATGTAGGTCTTCTAATGTCATGTAATCTTTGCCAGAGAACCTATCAGGAAATAAAACATTTTAATGGAATACATTATGGCAATCATTTAAAACAGCAGTCTACCTAAGGAAATATTTAATACACATCACTTAAACACAATTTTTAGTTTATAACGTAGAAATTTAGATAAATTAAAATCTTAATTATAACTTTTAATAACAGAATTGTCAGTGGTTACTCAACACTGTACATAATTTATTAATATTAAGAATAATTACAAATACTTTACCTACATACTTAAATATATTTGCATGTTTACATTTAACTTCAATGATTACAGGTTTGTGGATTCCAGAAAAGATTTCTAAAGCTTTCAATACATTATATATGAGTTTGTAAAAGTTATGAACTTTCTTTAGCAGAGCTTTGATATCAACAAAAGCACATAATATACAGCAAGATGTCAAGACTAAGCAATTGTCATGGAAACATTTGCTTTCCATGTGGTCATCAATTAAATATGCTTTCCCAACATGACCAGCTGCTTTTGATCCATCTGTATATATATATATATAGGGATATAAAACTTTGTTTTTAAATTATCTTGTTAGCATTTCTTTGGCAAGATGGTGGAAAATATTAAGAAGTTGGCTATGTACATACTCCAAGGAGGGACCACAAAATAGTTTACTGTCGGTATAAATATCTGACATGCAATATTCTTAGATTGAACCCTCAGAGAGAAAAAGGCACACAAGATGGCCATGCTTTAAACAAAAGATCACACATGTCATCAAGCAAGGACAGTTTTCAAGGATGGTCTGGTTGGTATATTACAAGGGATATTTAGAAAGTAAGGAACATTTTGGAATTAAAAAGAAACTAAGTACAAGGGAAAAAAAAAAATCATTATATGCGTCAGAAAGAGTGACTAAAATTCTACTTTTCTACATAGTCATCAAACAAATTGTGGCACTATCATAGCGGTGGACAAGCTTTGAAATTCCTTCGTCATAGAATTATGTCACCTGCGATCTCAGCCACTCAGTGACACGCACCTGCAGCTCCTTGTCGTAGTCAAAGAGCTGTGTGGCTAGCCAGTTCTTCATTCTTGGCAAAAAGCGAAAATCACTAGGTTCAAGATCGGGACTATAGGGTGGATGAGAGAAAACCTCCCATTTGAATGAATTAAGGAGTTCTTGAGCGCGTTTTGCCGTGTGAGGTCGGGCATTGTCGTGCAAAAACAAAATTTTGGACATCAACTTTCCTTGGCGCTTGTTTTGAACTGCTCTCCTAAGGTTGCTCACAGTTTGACAGTACCGCTCAGAGTTTATTGTGGTACCACATTCGAGAAAATCAATCAGAAGCACACCTTGCCCATCCCAAAACACAGTCACCATAATCTTCTTTGGTGACAAGGTTTGCAAACATTTTCTTGGTCTTTTGGGGGAAATTGTGTGCCCGCAATGCATGGAATGTAATTTTGTCTCACCCATGTCTCGTCACCATTTATGATTAAATCCAGTAATGAATCACCATGTCTGTCATAGGCCTTCAGAAATGCCAAAGCTGCTCCCATTCGTTGACCTTTATGGTGCTCTGTAAGCAATTTCGGCACCCATCTTGCACAAAATTTGCGGTAGCCTAGCTTTTGTGTGACAATTTCAAACAACAAAGTCCGTGAAACTTGTGGAAAACTAGGCGAAAGCTCTGTTACTGTGAAACGGTGGTTTTCACGAATCTTTTCATCAACTTTAGCAACCAGTTCATCAGTCACAATGCTAGGGCGTCCACTCTTCTCTTCATCGTGAACGTTAGTTCGCCCATTTTTAAACTGAATGCACCATTTCTGGATTGAATTTTCATTCATTACGTTGTTTCCGTACACTTCACACACTTGCTGATAAATTTCCATAGGTTTTAGGCTTTTTGCGAACAAAAACCGTATCACAGACCGCATCTCATAACTGGCGGGATTTTCAATTGCTGCGCACATTTTAAATTTGAATATTGAAAAAACGGGCAGCATGGAAATGTTCCCGTTGTGATGACTGGATGCAGAGCACGCAGACACCAAACTATATGTGATCGGCGCGCGCCTAGCGACGTCAGACGGAAATGTTTCTTACTTTCTGAATAGCCTACGTACATTGAAATAGTAATGAAGAGACAACTGCTCACATTCCACTGCAGTGACTTTTTCAAATTTTCGCTAAGGATATTTCAAAAGAATGCTGAGTGCTCCTTTTTATTTTACAATTGCAACTGTAATGCTGCATCATGACCTTCCACAAGAGCAATGTGTACACATGAGCTTACTATGACAGGACATTTCTGAATGGGTAAAATATTGTTGCAGAAAGCCTTGTAAGGGATCTTGTACATAGGGTGTTAGAGGGCAATGTAAGTACCCAGCCTTGATACGCTTTGGCAGAATCAGGGGAACTAAAGATCAGGATTACGCGTTTCATATTTATCAACTGACCTTTGCTCATTTTGATATGTTTAACAACACAGACAGTTCTGAGACAGTTTCCTCTTCTTATATGAACAGAACATTGATCTCAGAGTATACACCACTACTGTAGTTTAGAGTTTTGTGTTCTGAAACACCAACATCAACTAGCCGAAGTTTTTCAATTTAAGTAGTGTAGCTGATTGAGTTGAAGAAGTTCCAATAAAGAGGTCACTAGACTGCAGCCTGTTTATATTTACAGATCCTGATTGGTGATATTTTCTGAAGTTTGTCTGTTGTATTGTTGGCAACAAAGAATTTTGGTAGATTTTTATCAGGATTTGCAATTATATTCATTTTCACATTTTAGAGTAGAGAGGCACTTTCATTTTTAGCATTTGATGTAGTTTCAGAATCTGTATTTGAAATTAATAAACATTTGAACCTGGTGGCCCCACCTTCCAGGAAATTCAACCAGAGGACCTACACTCCTGCACCAGGAGTCCAACAATCAGCTTTTCTGAAAGCCCAAAAGCTTATCCCAGAGATACTGACACTAATGACTAGCCAACTGATATTGGGGGGGGGGAAGCTTCCTTCTGTTTCAATCTGAAGTAGAGACCAAAACAGTGTACTATAGACAGTACCTCACCCTTCGACTATCAGAACCCACCTTTCCAGCCTTGGGTCACAATGCACAACAAATGTGTAGAAATCGATGAAAGCCCTTTTAAGAAGCGTAAAAATGAAATGAGTCAAATACTGATTGTTTAGTTAATAAAGAGGCATCAGTTTCTTCAGAATTCTGCAGGAGCAATTAGTGCAATTTTGGTAGGATCTCCATCAACTTACATGGTTGAATGGCAGCCAAATTTCATAGTCAATGGAGCAAAATGTAAATACCATAAATTCTTGCATTCTATAAGTATGCATTTCAGAGATTATTAAATATTTTTTTCCAACCACGTGATTAAGCATTATTCAGGAATGGCTGAACCCATTAGTTATTTAGCCATCTCATCATCAAGAACATTGCCCAGGGTGAACCACAGAGGATGACTGAATTCCACCAGCAAGAAAGATGAAACTCCATCCTAGTTTTGAAATACAACACCTTTGGGAATTAATCTAGAGGTCTTGTATCCCTCTTCTCTTATGATCAACTCCTTCACAGACCTTTTAACTACACATACTTTAAGTGCAAAGACACTGTAACACCTTACAGCCATTCAAGCCTTCTCCAGGATACAAACCACAGCCCAAGACTATGGCAGCTGGCTCCTATGCCACCATATCATCAAGAAAGCAGAAGATTAGATATAAAAATCATGGTTTTTAATAGCAAATTGAAAAAAATCAACATTTAGTGATTAGACACTTAGGTTCTGCAAATTGTTTTCTGACTTTGTGATTCAATATAAAAAAGCAGCAATTTTCTTGAAATACAAAATTATTGTTAAGCTTAAAACTTTGACTTGTAGTCTAACTTTTAGTCATTTGCACTGAAATATCTTCAGATTATGATCTCACTGGAACAGTTAAAATATTTTTATATTATTAGTGTTTTCATGCACAGCAGATAAAATTCTAACAATAACAGTTTCAGTAATACAAAGGATGTGAAAAGGAATGGGAAGATTATGAAAAATTTGATTTATGAAGCTCTAACTGAGAAAAGATCACAGTGGTTTATAAACTACAAACTGGGGAAAAAAAAAAAGAGAGAGAGAGAGGGTGGGAAATCCAAATAAAAATGGAATAAATAAATAAATAAAGCATAATAAAAGTGGTTAATAAAATGAAGTATATCTGAAAAATACTCATCAGTCTGTAATTGATTAACCATATATACTATATACAAGTCAAGAATTTGGGACACGATTTTACCATTAAAATATGGAGACTGGTTTCTACACGAGTTCAAAATGATTTATAAATAATTTATATACATAAATGATATTACACATTAAGTAACTGAAAATGTTTATAAATTTTATTTAATTCTAATATATATTAATTAAAGTTCTCAGGTTCAGTACCTAATTTGGAAATTTCTAGAACTTCTTGGAGGTCTACATTTGCTACAGGCAAAGTCCAGGTGAATGTCATCATCTATCACTTCACAGTTAACATCATTACCACATTTTATAGATCATATCATGTTCAATACCATCAAAAGTTGATTGCTCATCAAAAATGATAAACTCATCTTCAGTTCATCCAATAGGTCTACCTAAGTTAGATGACCAATCATCTGTAATTTTGACATTATTTAATGCTGGACATTCAAGATGATTTTAACCCTCTGAGTGGCATGATAGGATAAAGCCGATCATGAGATTTCTTTTCACTTGGCCTACATTAGCTTATAATTTAAAATACTTTGTATTCTTTCTTTCTTGCATGATTAAAATATTCTCTTACTGAATGGAAATTTATAAAAACAGAAAATAAAATAAGTAATAACATAAATTTAGATAACAAATGTCATTTAAATACAGATTTTCATGAGCGGATTAAAAAAGCAGTGCTTCTTAAATGGTTACATTTGACTTATATATTAGTTTTCAAATTTGACTGAATTTTTGTAGCAAAATTTTACTTCTCACCTTAAAGAACAGCTCATATTTGGAAATGTAAGGTACTTTGTTAAATTGTGTAAAGTCTGAAATCTTGCTTTAAATATCTATCTACTGAAGGGTTTAACAAAGGATTTTTCAATCTAATTCTGCACAGTGAAATAAGGAATGGATAAAAATTGTTTAGGATCCAATTAAAATACTAACTGTTATGGAAAGTTAACTAAAACATATTTTACACAATTCCATCAAAAACATTTAGTCACATTAAAACAAACAAACAAACAAACAAAAAGAGAGAGAGAGAGAGAAAGAGAAAGAGTGAAACTAAATTGGTTTATTTTAAAATTAAAGGGAATAAAGCTATTTACCTTACTAACAGAAAATAAATTTCTGGTCTTGTAGATGTTTCTTTAAATATGCTAACAAAATCACTACTGTCTATCCTGCCTCTTTCCTCTCCCTGTTTGCCATGCTCAAATTCCTAATAAAATATAAGATAAAAATTTAGAAAACTGAATTAATATAAAGCAACTTTATTATACCCATTAATAAAATCCCATGCAGGTAAATTAAAACTCACAATCAGAAATAAAGAACAATAAAGGCATAAGATATTAAAGACAGACAATATAAGTAAAATTCTTGCTTCTTGATAAATTCTTGATTGAGATTTTTGTGGTTACTATTTGTTATTACTCTTTTAAATAACAGAAAATTAAATTTGGAATTGAGAATGAATAGTTTTTCTTTAAAAGATCTGACCAGCAGTCAAAAAGTTCCCAGAAATTCATTGTAACTCTTTATCACCACATATAATTTTTTCTTACTACTTATTTAGTTACTACTGGAATACATTACAGGCAGGCAGTAGGAGTGTGTGGTGATCAGTGGGTGTGATAGCAAAGTTCAAGCAATGGACAAACATCAAGTTCATGTGCAGATTGGGAAAATCTGCTTCAGAGACATTGTGTTTACAAACAGTTTATAGTGATTCTTCTTCTTCTTTTTTTTTAACCCTCCGAGCATTACGGGTTTAGCCCTGAAATTTCAAAGTTCCTCAAAATGTCATGAATAAGTGATGTTTTCTTGATTTTAATTAAAAAGTGACTATCTCATTTTGTACCTTGATTCCTTTTCTTCCAATATACATCCAAACCGAAATCAGATACATTTAAAAGCTAGCAGAAATTTTCATGTATAATGAATATAGAAGACAACCTTCTGTACGGAATTTTCTGGCCGCAACGCCGAGAGGGTTAAAGCCGTTTGCAATTGCTTTTTGAGATTTCTAGGTGGCCAGGAATCTCTGGAAGACGAGACTGCAGTGGGAGACCTTCAACCTCCAGAAACGGAGAAATAGTTGAAGAAGGGAAACAGTTAATCAGATCACAGCAAAGAATGCCTTTCGAAGAAATAGGAATCTCTCACAGATCCATTCACATAATCCTATCAGATAATTTGACTGTAAAAAGTGTCAGTGCCAACTTTGTCCCGAGGCTGCTGAACCCGGATCAAATGGAAACTCAACAGTTGATTGAGGCCGAATGTTTTGAAAAAAGCAAACAGGACTTGCCATTTCTTCAGGCAATTGTTACTGGCAATTGTTACTTGGTGTATGCTTATGACCTGGAGTCAGAATGACACACAATGTCCTCTCCTCGACCAAAGAAATCACATCATGTTAAATCCCAAACAAAAGTGATGCTCATTGTGTATTTTGACAGTGAAGGTGTGGTGCACTGTAAATTTGTACCAACTGGAAAAACTATTAATGGCCCTTTTTACGTGCAAGATTTGAAAAGACTGAGGGAGGCAATCCTAAGAAAATGACCTGCCAGACAGCAAGGAGGATGGTAAATGCATTACAACAATGCTCCTTTCTGCACATCCATTGTTGTGCAGACATAGCTCGCAGGGAAAAAAAAAAAGAACATTCGAGACTTCAAAAAGCCTTCCTATTCACTGGATTTTAGGTACCATTGAATTTGTGGCTCTTCCCAATATCGAAGTGGGCCTTAAAGATTACCACTTTGACACCACAGAATACATCAAAACAATGCAACACATGAATTTTAGAGGCTACCACAACAGGACTTTTATTGTTTCCAGCAATAGCAGGAGGAATGGAACAAATGTATTTGTTTCTGAAGGAGCCTACTTTGAGGGTGATTAAGTAAATATGTACAATTCGGAAAAAAAAAAAAAAAAAGAGGAGGAGACGTTTCTATATCTCCCGCTCTACTTGGCCGATTGACAAAATTCAAATGGTCTTTTTCATGTCTCGAAAGCGCAACTTAAGATATATATTAGACTTATATATAGCATTGTTCTAACATAGGCATTTTGACACAAAATCCCACTTTTCCAAAATAACATAGCAATTTTTTTGGATGACATGACATATGTATTTTTGTTTAGCCTAAATATCACTAAATACACTATGTTCAAATAATTTGAAAAAGAACTTACAAAATATGTAATACAAAACATTGCATTACTCACCATAATTTTTTGTCGCAGGCGAACAGTGCTCAATTGATTGTTCAGCTTCTTCATCAATGATATAGTCTCACCTTCACTTAAAAGCCCTCTCTGACTTGTATCAGCTTGTTCAAAAACTTCTTTTAACCATCTGACCAATTTCATTAAGGTTATACAGTTTTCAATCATAAAGCCAAATCTACAGAAATAAATCAATTTTATATAACAGAAAAGGATACTTTTCTCGCATTTTCTGTCTCTCGTCAAAAGTATCAGGAGCTGCTGATGAAATAATATGTTAAAACATAAGCTGGAAATATATAACAGCATAAAAAAATATTACTTGTTTAGGAGACAACAAACTAGTCTTTTCTCTTCTGAATCTTCAAGTAAAGTATTGTTATATATTAGACAATATTTCCTTAAAACAGTTAATACATTTTGTATATTGAAATTATTATCTTGATAATCATCAAATATAATTTTTGAATTATCATCTGCACAATATATCTATAACTAGTACACATATATAGAAACAAACAGATCAATTTTTTTAGCAAAAGTTAATAACAATAACAGTTTGCTATGCCTCTAAGAAAAAAGATTTTTTTTGAGAAATTTACTTTAAAACTAAACACATTTTAAAACTGATTTTTCTCTAGACTTCTCAAATTCAGCACATAATTCTTAATTTTCTGAAAAATGTCACATAATTACAATTTTCTCAACTGTATCAGCAAATGTACAGACAGATTTGGAAATAATGCACACCTTTTTTATAACAGCAAAAGCTTATTAAAAAAAATGGTTACAAAGAAAAAATCAACAAAATGAAAGGGAAAATTAATTTCCACTTCAGAAAAAATAGTCAGTAAAATGGTGCAATTTAACAAAACGTTCATATAAAAAAAAAAAAAAAAAAAAAAATTCACAATATACAGGTAACATAAACTAGATTAAGTACAAATATTAATTCTTAGTAATTACATATTAAGTAATATAACATATGATTTTCTGAGTATACTTACACAAACATGGTGAAACTACACAGACTATTAAGGAAAAGTCACAAAAATGATAACTACACAAAAAGTTTCATGTAGAATTTAATGAAACTGACCCACAGTATAGAACACATAGTAAGGTATAAAATAACATGAAAATAAATTACCAGGCAATTATGGTATTATAAAAATTAGCAAATGTATAATATGAACAAATCGGATGTGTCAATTTGATATACGAAAATTACCTTCAATATGGAGTAAAATCTCCCCTAGAAGCAATACAATACAACACATACAGCGATGTGCGATGCTATCAATTATGCAGTCTAGCAGTTCCAAGGAAGTGAGAACATTGCGCTTGTAAAGCAGTTGCAAGTGTGGCAAGGGTCTAAAGAGAAGGACTGAGAGCAGTTACACATCTTCCAAAAGCATCCTAAACATGATCGATAGGATTCAGATCCAGTGATCGATCTGGTCACTCCACGTGCTGAATTGTTTACGTGGCCATCTCAAACTTTCCCTTCTATGACATTATGTGAGCGGCACACAAATGGCTGGTTGCCTCATGTACAGACCTCATTCTTAAAGCCTTTTACGCACAGTTGACGCTGACATCAACCTTTCGATGGCTGCAAGAAGGGAGGATCTAAGTTGAGTCGGTTTTATACCTTCATGCACATAACAACAAATATCCGTCATCGACACTCGTCATAGCAAATGTCCATCCTTGGTTGAACCTTCAGGATGCTGAATCTATGATTAGAATTGTTGCCAAAATCTATGAACCACAGAAAGACTCATATTTTGCCACTTCTTTCTGACTTTGTTCTGCCTCTAGTCTCCCAATAGCTCTCCATTGTAGTTCTTCGGGCAATTGATGCCTAGTGGTCACTGTTATGCCTTGGCTATACCAGATTTCATGTCTCAGTATCACAGAGAAATTTGCAGGCTTACTCTCAAACATGCAATTTTATGCTCCTCGTAGATGACGCATTATGACTGCAGTGCCACTAATTTGCATACTGCAGTTCTATTAAACATCTCGTATTTGGCAACATACTCAAATTTTATAAAGATTGGTTTATTTTTTAGAGTTAGTGAAATTTTTGTGACTTTCCCTTAATTTCTGGAAACCCGTGTTTATAAAGACAATATACAAAGGTGAAAACTAAATATTATCATACATAACCAGTTTGTCAAATAATACTATCTTATTTATTATTGTACTGAAAGAGAAAAACACATCATTTACATTCATTTAACCACTTGCTCAGTATTAAATACAGTACAAAGTCCGTAATTCGGACTCGTCGGGATTTGGGCGATTCTGGATTAAGGGTTTTTCCGGATTATAGATCACCAGTTTAAATCTGGTAGGGCATGCAGATTATACATTAAATGAAACCCTAATTTATGATAAAGAGCAATATGATCTAAAAGATCAAAATAAAAATAATAATATAATAAAGTTAATTTTTTGTTTACTTTATTAACCATTTCTTTCAATGGAAGTTGTTTAATTGCTTGTTTTTGTGTAAATGCGCATGCTAACATTAAACGTGCATGCTAATATAAATGCACGCGGAAAGCATACAAAGAAAAGTTTGTGGCTTTGAGGTCCTATTAGATCATCCAGATAAGGACATCCGGATTACAGACTTTGTACTGTATTAGGTTAGTTAAGGTTAAGACTGATTTCACATCTTGAATAAGGGTTTAGGATTTAAATTTACTACACAAGTGTTTGTTCTTGTTTGAATTCTAAATTAATCTTTGTTCGGCATGTTATTTTAACCTGAAGTGTTACATATGTTTAACATAATCTAAGGTAACACAATAATGATGATCTTAACAGTTTTTAGCTAGGAATCCAATGTAGAATCTCTGAGTTTAATGAATTTAGCTCCTATAAGATGGACAATGTATGGATATTGGTACCAACTTATGTATGGAAATTGTTTGAAAAAAAATCTTTAAATATTACAATGTTCTTTTAATTATAATAATTATAATTTATTTTTAGCTCAAACATTAACTTGATTATATTCACTATACAAAATTTCTTAAAATGCGATTCAGAGTTCAGACTAATGAATGTCTAGCTTTTTTATATGAGTAATTTTTTTAAATATGCAAATTTGGCACATTGAAATTTTAGTACGTTTTGATTATCCGCACACAAATGAGATAAACTTGTTGGTGAATTCGGAGAACATTTGGTAACCCATTGATGATTAATATTTTAACAAGTTAATGAGCGAGAGGCAACAGCTACAGTCACCCGTCTTTATCAGGACGGGGGCCTTTGGCGCTTCCGGTTCTCGATTTCGGATTAGTCTCCGTTACCTTGTAAGATGGCATGCAGAAAGAAATTATCTGATTTTAAACATGAAACCTATTTCTAAAGGGATACACTAATTACCAAACCCCAAAAAAAATCTGTATTTTATTGTTGCCGCGCGCGTGTAAAGCCTTCCGCATAGCCGAATTAGAAATCGCAACAGAAAACTATTGGATGGTATTCGCGATCTTTATGATGACGAGGAAAGATTGAAATCATATCAAAGACGGACTTCACGGATAAATATACTTAGTACGGAATTGATAAGCAGAATAAAATAAAACCATCTGCCTGACGTAACGATAGTGCTGACAGTAACTCAGTTCCTTGGCGCCGCGAGTACCCTCCCGGAAGAGCAGCTGAAAATGATAAACAAATTTCGGCACGTTAGATAAACAAAGGTATGTCTTTATCCATTTTGTGTAGCAATTCCCTTTTTGTTGATGGACATCGAAACAACTTTCGTTTGTAGATCGTTGGGAATCCAGCATCGGAAATCTATTGACATAATCCAAAGTTCAAGCTTACTTTTATAAAAGTGCTCTTACAGTCGAAAGAATAATAAGCCGGATCTAATTCGAAGATTAAGGAACAATGCAATCATCAACATTAACTGAAATAGATAATTTTACCTTAACTTATACCGTCCGTTATACATTAAACGCACATGCGTAAACGTATTATGCGCATGTGCACACACATATTCGCAGCCGTAAAGGTCTTGCGCGCACGCTTAAATGCTTATGCGTATGCGTCAACGCGGCGCATGCACAGAAAGATTTTAGCTTTGAGGTCCGGATTATAGATCATTCCGGATTATGGGTGTCCGAATTAACGACTTTTGACTGTATTTTCAAAATGGTGATGTGCTAAGATTCCATAAACAGCCGTCAATTAATAAAATTAAAAGAGCAAGAAATATAGGTTATAAAATGCTTGCTTTTTTTGACAAAAATTTTCTTATTTGCATTGTTGTTCTCCCCAGGTTCACAGCTAGCTTTAAAATAACACCAGAGAATTCCACAAGTTTGGCATTGTGCATTCAGCATTGACCAAAACACACATGCGCTACGCACATACTTAGGTTGCCACATAAATACTTTTTGGTGACATCATGGGTTGCTACAGACTGCTTTGCCTCATGAATACGTTTTTGCAACTTTTCAGTAAGTATTTTATAAATTTACATAAAGATATTTGTAAAAAAACTAAAATTGTGGATATTTGTCAATAAACTGCTTCATTAAAAATTACTTTAAACTATATAAAAAGTGTTCATGTATATGTCGATGTAAAGTATATTTTTTATTCTTTACTACTATTAGTACAGTAAACAATAACACATTAAATTTTATATGCAAATTAATAGACATTCTAGTAAATAAAACATATTTTATCTTACATTTGGATGCTCCAATAAGAACATTCAGTCCAGTGACCCAAATATTGGCTTCATCAGGTGAGGAAGCAATCAGATCTAGAGATTCAAAGTTATCATTATATATAATAGAGAAAGCACAGTCTTCAGAGTAGGTCCAAGCAATTTCTTTGCTCCTAAGTACATCTGTCGTTCGCCCCATTCTGACTTCTTTCATGCACCTAATTAATACTAGAATAACAATGCAAACAAATATATTTAAGTAACAGATTAAATATGGCAATTTAATAAACATAAGATTTCTGCATGTCTTTAAAATTAAGAAAATTTGCTAAAGTAATTAATTTCTTATAGAAAATTACTTACACCTTACAACAAAACGAAACTGTGCAACAAGTAGTAAGACACATTGCGAGAATTCTAGAGTATACTCAGTTATCAATTATTAAACAAAAGATTCTAAATCCAAATACATAATGATATAAAAATAAAATATTGACTAGCTATACTTGAAGTCCCAATTTTAAAAGTCATATCTAACTAATTTTCATTCAGATCTGCACCTTCTATATTGGTCATTGACATGCCCGAAGACAAGTGGGTAACAAAGTATCAATAAAAATATTCTTGTGCCACATATAAAAGTACAGTAATTTCGAAGAAATTCTAAAAGAAAAGGAAGAAAACTAAGATTTTCTTCTTTAAAACTACTGGAAGACAAAATATTCATCAATGTTTTGATTTCTTAAAATTTATCCTAGGCATAGAGTTTTACATTCAAGGTCCTATTTTTCAATAGATATGCATTATTATTAATTTGAATTAATTAACTAAAACATGGAATTTTTTCAAGCTAAAAGTTGTATTTTACTATTATTATAGGACGTATTTTCCTATCAATGGGAAAGTTGGCAGAGTTCCTGCCAGAACTTATGTCAATCCTTCAGGAAGTTTAAAGGTATAGACAATTCTTTAGTTAGATAATCACAGATCATTATTTAACTAGTTAGATAATGAACAGGTACAAATTGCAGACATAGCAGAAAAAATTTAAAATTCCATAATGGCAGCTAAAACAACAATAAATGGTCACCTTTTTCGTAAACTTACTGTAACATAAAACTCACTTGAATCCAAATCAAAGTGGTGTAACATGGTGTTTTTTTACTGCGCCATTTCGTCAAACCCCACAGCTTTTCAATGTTTTAATTATGTGAACTAGTATAACCAGTTTTTTTTTTTCAAAGACTCACAGCTTTTCAATGTTTTAATTATGTGAACTATTATAACCAGTTTTTTTTTTTCAAAGACTAAATGGACTTACTGTAGACTGCAGTTAAATAAAACTAAAGTAAAGATCTTATAAGCATGTTGTGACATTACACTTATCCATTACTGGTGCTAAACTGCACTATTTGAGGACAGTTTTTTTCCCCCCTTAAATTGAAAATGGTCAACAGGAAAATACCTATACACACACACAAGTGTACATAAAAAAACATTGAAAATACTAAACCTAATATTTTTTTCTAATTATGCAAAAATTTTAGTTAAAGAACAGATAGAAAAAATTTGCAAATACTTTTGGCTTTTGAAGACTTTTTAGATGATGGTATCCATCGAAGAGCAGAAAGATCTTCTTCAAGAGAGAAAAAACGCCGATACTGACGAGCACTTGGCCTCACTTTAATCAAACTGCTCCCATTTATCATGTACCTCAGACAATCCAGAGCTAAGTGAAAAAGAAAAACATTTTGATGCAATAATAGTTACATATATAACAGTGTGCACACACCCAAAAAATAATTTGAATGTCCACTGATGGCTGTAAATAAAAAATGAATTAAAACTCTTGGTTCTTTCTTGTTAAAACAGTTTTGGTAAAATTTGGCGGCATTTAAAATTAATTTAAAGAAAACACTATGGCAACCTTCAGAAATTGAAAAGTTACAATGTGCAATGGGAAATAGTGTATTTCCACCCTTTTCTGGTAATTTTATCACATGAAAACTGGGAATGGAAAACTATGTAATTTTTGCTGTTTTTAAAGAGATGGCTTAAATTATAAGCACAGTACATTAAAAAGCCCACATAACGGCACAATAATATTATTACATTATGCATTTCATAGGAATTATCATTTTTAATAGCATTCCTTTTACTTACACCAAATAACTTTCTATTTGAGCATACATTTTATATTGTTACCATAAATCAGAAATTTCTGAAAATTGTGCTAAAAACTAAGGGGAATATGCGAGGGGAGATACATGCGAGTAAATATGACAACATTTATTTCCTTGTGTGGATGCCATTATTCTTGAATTGCTGCAATTATTGAATCAAATATTTTCTCTTGTCCTACATACTGTCGACTTGCGAATTCTTCTAAATATGGATCAAATTCCTGGTGAACTGTTACTCTTTGTCTTTTGTTTCACCATTTGATTGCACCCCAGAATGATTAATTTTTCTGTGTATTTGTGGCTAATGTTGACTTTACAAAGTTGTATCTATGTTCCACTGCAAATTGTTAAAAACTGGATAGTTTCTTATTAATCATTCCAGTGATTTGAATATACTGTACTTCTTTTATACACACAGTTTTTTATCATCTCCATTAGAGTTTTGATACATCTATCCAGTATTTGCACAAGAAAACATTTGTTTATTTCCTCTTAGATATCTCCCCAAACCAACAGATTTAACAAAATTCTGCTTTATTGTCCTTTGGCTTGATAGACAGATTCAATAAGCTTTTCATGTCTATCATTTTAGGTGTACCATACAAGCATTTGAACAAAAACAAGCAACAGATTTCTCTAATTAGCTTTTCCAATTAATTGCCCCATGTTTAGCTATATTTAACTGTCTGTTGCACCATCTGATGGAAGTTAATTCTTCAACCCACTAGCACATGAAGTGCAAGGTAGTAAAAAAAGAAATCTGGCCAGTTATCAGCACAAAGACTTTTCTTACACAGCAGCTTTTCACATAGTATCTATAAATACCTTCTTTCAAATAAATAATTTCATTGAGTCGTCATGTTTTCAAATTTGCTCACTATGCAAAATTTTACGCTCTTGGAAAAAAATCACTTCTTCTTTTCAATTACAAGTATGTTAAATATGATTACTTAAGCATATTTGTTAAATTATATCTATCTATCTATCTACATATATATCGGGTTTTAACGAAAGATCCCCGCTACAGCAAATATCGTCTGCACAAGCAGTTCACATTGGCATATTTAATCATATTTTGCCAAATGATTTTTGGCATTTGAAACAAAGACTTTTGCTTTAGAACACTGTGTTGTGAAATTTGTAAAAAGATGTCATTAACCCCTTCGAGCCGGGTAGCGAAAAAGCGTGCTTATGTAGTACAGAGAGCTGCTAAAACTACGATACGTTTGAAATTATCAAGAGGACTAACCTCTGGCCTTGAAGGCAACGCTTTTAACCCCTTCGAGCCGGGTAGCGAAAACGCGCGCTTATTGCTGAGGCCGGCAGTGTCTTACGCGAGCGTCTCTCCAGGGCCGGGGGATTTTTTGCTACTAAGCCTAAATCCATGAAATTTCCGAAGTATCAACGCATTGTTTAATAATGCTCTATAGAGTATTTAAACGGCTTGTGCTTTATAGATATTTTTATATATATACTTTAATTACCTTATTTCTTGTTTAAATGCATATTTTACACATTTTATTTAATTACTCACCATTTTATGAATTTTAACATTATACATCTGAAAACTAAATATATTACTTAAAATTCTCTTTTCGTATGAAAAATTTTAAAACAGGGATCTACACACAGTCCTACGTTACATTCCTTGCACTCGTAATAACTCATTTGCCGTTTTGGAGGATTTTTCCGGGAATGTGAACAAACGAAGCACCGTCGTCTCATTTTCTTATCAGCCTCTTCTGAACAAAGTTTTGGAAAATGTCTTTCAGTTAATCTTTCAGAATCAATATCAGAATTTCACAATCAATATCTGAAATATTTTGCATCATTTCTGCTATTTCATGCTCTGTTAAACATTTTCGACGCTTCGACATTGAAAGGGTAAAAACAGAAAGAATTCACGTCAAACAAGATCTAATTATTTTCTAAAAACTGAACTGCAAACCGAAATACCCAATGCTTTAGAGCAAATAAAACTTCTCTATTTACAGTAAACAACTACCACGTGCGAATAAAGATACGTCATAAATCACGCCATTCGGAAACATTTATTTCCCCATTTGTTTATATAATCAAAAACACGTGTATGTGAGTCATGCTTCTCTCATTTCGAGTAGAAGGTCTAATTTACATATATCTGAAACAATATGGACATACAGTGCCATCTTGTGGCAGAAATTATAGTTTGAAAAACAATCCAAAGTACTGGCACAAATACGTGACAGTCGGTAGAGAACGGAACGATCCTCTGGCACACCTGCATGGCGGCCGGTAAGTGTGTTCGTTGCTGGCACGTATACGTGACAGTCGGCATGAAGGGGTTAAGTGCAAGGTGTCTGAAATGGAACTATCACGCTAACAGATTAAAACCATCATTTACTTCCAGTTCTGTAGCAAAAAATCAGCTATAGAATGTTACGAAATCATATGTATAGCTTTAAGTACTAATGTTGTATAATATTACAGTGTAAAAGTTTGGTACTGAAAGTTCCGAAACAAGGATTATGACATTCAAAAAGCAGAGCACTCTGGCCGGCCTACTGATGTCGATTAAAGCCCGCCAGCGAGAACTTGTCGAAGAAGATCAGTATGCAACCATTCGAGAGCTTGCTAAGGAGTTAGACGTTAGTGTCATGTTCATTACTCGCGCTATGCGCACTGCGCATAAACTTATGGCATACAAGTTCAGTTGCTGTGGTGCCGCATGAGCTTACTCAAGCAGACAAGGATAGACGTGTTCGGGACCTTGCACTAATCCTGCTCGGAATATCAACACAAGGACAAAACTCTGGACCTGATCGTCATTTGTTATGAAAAGTGGATTTAATTCAACAACAGAGGACGGAAAGTCGATTGGCCTCTGCCTCCACTGAGTCCCGTCAGCACCCTCGCAAAGTGCACAATTTGACTAACAAAAAGGATCATGTGCTTTGCGTCTGGTGGGACTTGCCATGGTATTATCCACAAAGAGTAACTGGAAAAAGGTAAAACCCTGAACAGTAAAGTGTACATCGAGATGCGAGTCCGTGTTGACGCCGCTATTAAGGAAAAACGTCGAAGTGAGTTCCAGGTGCAAAAAGGTAATGCTCCGTCAAGATAATGCAAGACCACATGCGTCTGCAATCTCCAGCTGGACTCCTACGGACTCGAATTGAATGGATGTTTTGTCGCACCCACGATATAGTCTATGGCAATCGCTCTATTCGAACTTCTACCTTTTTTCACACCTGCAGCTTACATCTTACTGGTGCTGTATTCCACTCTGTTGCACAGGACATCCGAAACGATGTTTATCTGTTTTTGGGCTCGCGGCCACTAATTTTCTAGGTTTCACAAAGGCTATGAAAAACTGACGCACGAAGATGTAGTCATCCAGATTTGGCTTGACGATTACTACCCGCACTGTAGGCACTACCTTCATGTTTTTTTTTAATCTTTTTTTTTTCCGCGCATCAATACCTTCGTTACAACCAGCATATGTAAGTATAATATAGCTGTTATTGAAATGTTGTTAAAAAATATCTTCTGTATGTCATTGTTAATTTTTTAAAAACACCTACATTCAACTATCTGAAATAGCCTCGTTACATGATTCGAGCCTTTCATTACGTTTTTTTTCAGAAGTTTGAAAGAGGTTGTATCATTGGATTGAAAGAGGCAGGTTCGGCAAATTGGAGAATCGCTCGTCATATGAGTCGAAGCGATGCGGCGATTAGAAGATGCTGGCAAGAATGGGTGAGCAATGGCAGATTTCAGCGTCATGATGTTAGCAGTCGACCTAGGGCTATAATTGATTGGGAGAACAGAGTGATTATCAGATCAGCTGTCACAGCACCTGATTCATCGCTATCAACCATCAGATGTGCGACACGTATATGAATGTCCACCATGGCCATTCACACACGGCTGATAGAGCAAAATCTACGCTCAGACTGACTGTTACACAACCTGCCACTCACGCCTGCACACCGTCGAACCAAATTACAGTGGTGCTTGACTCAATCAGGTTGGAATGATGCTGACTGGGAATGTATAGTCCTTAGCAATGAATCCCACTTCCAGCTGTGCCATGACGATCACGCCCAGAGCAGCATGCCGATCCTGCTTTTACTACTGCACACCACACAGGCCCTCAACCAGGAGTTATGGTTTGAGGTGCTATTTCTCTTTCTAACCGGATTCCTTTGGTCTTCATTAGAGGCATGCTTACAGCACAGTGGTACGTTGACGACATTCTGAGACCTGTTTTGCTACCGTTCCTTCTGCAGTCCCCTGGCCTTATTTTTCAGCAAGATATGCCAGATCACATATGGCACGTCTTGCTATAAACTCTCTTTCAGTTTGTCAAACACTTCCTTGCCCAGCCAGATCTCTCTCCCATTGAGCATGTCTGGGATATGAGAGAAAAGCAACTGCATCTGCCAGCAAATGTTGATGACCTAGCCTGACAATTGGAGCAAACTTGGCATGAAATACTGCAGGAGACCATCCAGGAGCTTTATCAGTCTATGCCACGACATGTAGCAGCTTGCATCCAGGCTAG